GTTAACGAGCCGAGCACGGGCTCAACTTGTGACGAGGATGAGCCGAGCGGGCGAGCCGACGAGCCGCTCGGCTCATTTGCCACCACTAAGCTCAAAGCCCTAAGAGAGCTCAAGAACCAAATAATTGGAAATCGGACCAAAAAGCTTGCCTTTTTGAAGTTTGGTGCCGTCCCCTCCATAGTCTCGATTCTCTCTTCCGCCGTCGACGAGAACGGCGGAAATTTGGAGTTCAATGAACCTGTGATAATTCAGTCGGCCGCGGCAATCGGGAGCTTTGCATGTGGGCTAGATGCCGGAGTTAACGCCGTTTTGGATGCCGGCGCATTTCCTCTATTGTTTGGTCTCATATCTCATCTGAACGAGAAGTTATTTTTTCCCTATTTCCATTTTTCTATGTTTTGAAAAATAAGAAAACTTGTGGTTTTTCAACACACATCATTCGACAATGAAAGCAAATTCTTAAACAATTTGGAAATACCTAATTAATAGGAAACTTGTGGTTAGTTTGAATTTGAGTTTTCTTCTTCTTCTTTTTTTTTCTCAACAAAATTGGAAGTTTGAGTTAGTTTTTGATATTGAGTAACGTTGAGTCTTTGTGGCATTAAATGATAGGTTAATTGAAAGGTGAAATTAAATGACTTTAATTTCACTTATCATTTAATGCCACATTAGTACCACGTAGACTGTGTTTTCATCCCCAGTGGGATGAATAGCATTACTCTTTCATACTCCCTCCGTCCCAATTATATAGGCTTGTTTAGTTTTTCACACGGATTAAGAAATCTTATTTAATGTCATTGGAAAATTAATTTTTGCCAAGATCTTTCCTAATTTACCCCTATTTAATTTTCAGTGTGACACTAAATTATTGTTGGAATTAATAAAGAATTTGAATTTTTAAGAAGTTTGCATATTAAGTGGGGAAAATTTAATAAGGGTATATTAGTAAAAGAACACAACAAAATATTCTACATTAGGAAACAAGCCTATATATTTGGAACAAGAGAAAAAGGAAACCCAGCCTATATAATTGGGACGGAGGGAGTATTAGGTTACAAAGGTGTGGTTTTCTTAAGGTTTAAATGTTGTCAGTCTATTTGTATATTTTCTGTTTGATTTTATGAAACATGACACTAAAATTTTGGTATACTAATGGGAATCGAGTTTCTTGTGAATCTATAAATTTTGGTTGATTTTTCACTATGCATTCAAGATGAGTTTTTCCATGAGTAGGTGGGATTCCATGTGTATAATTTGTGAAACTATATGTTAACTTTAGAGTAATGTGGGAAATTAAGCTACATTAACATTGAAGAGTTAATTTCATGCTGTGTAACTTCCGTTAACATTCTCATCTCATATGGTTTGGATTTCTTACCCTTTTATTCAGCTGTTTTATTCAACTATATGTTAACTTTAGAGTCAAATTTGTTAACTCTGAAACTATACTAATCCTATTTGGGAATACATGCAAGCTTTTCCCAGGGCCTCATAACATTGAAACCATTTTTCTGCAGGTTGTGGATGCCAGTGCTCGCTACCTTAAATTGATTTATCAGTCAAAATTGGCTCCAAAGTATGATTTTCTTCTAGAGAAAAATATGGACTTCCTCCTTTCACTGTTGAACAGCAAAAATGAGAATGTCACGGGACTTGGTGCAAGTATCATCACCCATTCATGCCACACTAGTATGGAGCAGGAGACATTGAGTGAAGCTGGAGTTATAAAGAAGCTCATTAGTCTTCTTGGAGGTTCTTTAATTCAGAGGGATGCTAGTTTAGAATCTCTTGGAGCTATAATTAAGGAAAATCCAGAAGTCATTTCACAGTTTATGGGACCTGAAAATGGAAGAGCCTGAATGCTGTGACTGAATCGACAAAGGATAGGTATCCTTGTACGAGATTGCTAGCCTGTATGTGTTTGATCCTTATAAGAAACGCTTCAACGTGTTATCGTCAAGATGCAGGAATCAAGACTAAATTGATACTAATATTGCTTGAGCTTGTTGATGATCCTGGTCAAGTTGGAGATGAAGCTCCATTTGCTTTATCTAGTTTAATTGCAGAAAAAGAGGATCTACAAAAAATAGCATTTGACTCAAATATTGTTGATAAATTATGTAAACACTTAGAAAAAGGTTCGTTGCAAGCCAAATGCCTACAGGGGATATTTCTAGTATTGGTTGATTTATGTTCAAAGTTCGAAACGAGCTTTGAGATGATATAAGCGATTTGTAGATTCGACTACCGTACGATCGTCGGATAATTTTTAAAGTTAACATGTTATCGAAATTTTTGAAATACTAATTTTAAACCGCCTACTTTGACACGTCGTAACATTTGTTACGATTGGTCGTTTCGTACGCCGTTAAAGTCATAAAAAACTAGATTCTAAGCACTTCCAAATGGTATTAATAATGTAATATTTCGATTTCGTTTCACATCTTATAATGATTTCGAAAATTGAAACAAAACATAGAAATTTTTTTTAAAAAAAGAGCAAAATTGGGGGGCACGTGCTCCCTAGGTCCACCCCTGGGTCCGCCAGTGCACGTGTGCTTCTTTAGACTAATCAATTCTTTGATTTAAGTAACAGTTTTCAATTAACTGCACAGTTGTGACTTGAGAAAGAGTAATGCGTTGGGCAAGTAATTTATTTTACTTAATGCAGCCTTTTAAGTCGGCACTTTGGCACTCTATTGTTGGTTAAAATGTGAATATGCGTATTTGCAACCAAAATTGTTTTGAGTATTGGTTAAATGCACTACTAGGCTACTAGTTACGAAAAACAGAACAAAACTAGCCAGAATAAATTTCTTTAAGGTGAAGAAGCCACGTGTGAGCTACCTGTCTACATGTTTTCATCTCCAAGCCCCCATAACCCTTGGTCACCTATACTATGTTCCTCTGAATAAGAAGCTAATTTGAGTCCTAACTTGATTTTTTTGTTTTCTTAAACGGTTAAGAAACAAATTGTTTTCGTATTCTGTTAATTTCCGAGTTCATCTAATAAATTATGGGGGCTCATCCACAAATTTACTGCAAAGTCTTATTATCTTTCTTCATCCAAATACACTGAAAAATATTATTATTATTGTGCCTCAATGTTATTTATAGAAAGATAGAAATGAGTGGCAGATAAGTGGACAACACTTATCATTTATAAATTGATTTGACTATCTATAAATTGATTTATAAAGTTTGCCAAACGGAGGCTATATTCTTCCTTCTTTACTATACAATCCTTGCCTCATTGTGTTTCCCAAGGAGAAGCAAGGGTGGATTGTTGTTGCAAGGTTGAGGGTAAAAAGAGTAAGAAGTCCCATGGAAAAGGGGCATATTCTCCTGATGATTTCTGAGAATTCACTCTAGATCTACCCTATTGAAGATGCAAAGTTAAATATGTAATAATGTCTTTATTAATGTTGATGCTCGTAGTTCCCTGTTTGCTATATGGTCAATAAGTTTTTGAGTGCTACTTGTACTTCTGAATGCAGGCATTCAATTTTTTAACAGATGCACTGACTCATGATAGTCCTGAAGTACGGGCTGCAGCTTGCATTTGCTTGAAAAACGTTTCTCGCTCTGTCAAGGTTCGTAACATGATATTGAAACAAAAGATTTCTGAGGCTCATACAAACTCTGTTGCTCTCTGCTAATAAAATATGATTCAGAATTTGAGTGCAGGTCGTTTTATGAATGAAGCTGTCATCATTCCCTTGGTTCAGCTTTTACATGACACGTGTACTTCTGTCCAGGTATAATTTGTGTTTCATTTATCGTTGACTTTCCCATTAACTATATTTGTAGTTTGCTTTGATGTAAGACAATTTTTGGTTATTGCTTGCATTTTTTTACCTCAGTTTACTCTGTCTATGTTTGGCTCATTGTTTGTAGGTGTTTATAAACATAAGTCGACATTCATTCATTGTGGAGGTGTGAAACAGCTTGTTCGGCTATCAAAGTCGATGGATTCAACCATCAGGGTCAATGCCGTGTGGGCTTTAAAGAACCTGATGTTCCTTGTAAACAGCAAGTGTAAAGAAGAAATTCTCCCAGAACTATTGCCATCTACGTTAATAAGGCTTATCTGTGGTAATTGTTATGCATATTATTGTAATAGAAATGCTGCACTCATATGATAATCTATTTACCATCTGCAACTTTGTTCTCTTTGCAGACCCTGAATCATCTGTCCAAGAGCAAGCTTTGGCTCTTGTTCGCAATCTCGTTGATCGTGACTCTGTTGAGTATGTCTTTTCTGAGGAGGGCCTTCTGCTGAATGCTATTGGAAGACAAATGCTGAGCTCTTCAAATGTTGAAGTTCTGATTCAAGTAAGAAGTGATTTCTCATGTTCGGACTTGGGTCCCTGCTTAAAAAAACGTACTTTATTTGAGGAAAAGAACTGCTGTATTTAAAAGTTGGTTAACAGCCTGTAGTGCAGTATCTAATGACCCCAACTTTTACTCCACAATAAATAAAATAATTTCATAATTAAATAAAGGAAAATGATTAAAAAGTAAATGAGCATTAAGTTCTTTCCATTTCTATGAAGCAAGGTAAAGTTGATCCTCTTTGCCTTGCAAAGTATCTCTCGTCTTTTGAGCTTTATATAAAATTAAAACCCAAAGTATCTTCTTTATTTGCTCTCCACAAGGATGGGAAATCAAATAACTTCTAATCTTCCTCTCTGAAGGGAACTCATGGGTCTCAAGTGTGCTATCGCCTAACTCATTTTTACTTAAAATTTTCAGTATCCTCCGTAAATTCATGTGCTATCGCCTAACTCTAGCAATCCCAGTTGTCAGCAGAGTTTTAAATCTATAGATGAAGAGCATCTTCAGCTAATGATCCTTACCATCATTTCCAGTGACCTGAACCTCAAACTTAGTTGTGAGCATTACTCAAGGAAAGGCAACATATGTATGAAGGGATAGAAAGACTGTGCCTTCCATTTAATAGTGGGTTATGCTAATCCACACGAGACATCCACTTCAGTGAATAGTTGGGGAAAAGCGAGCATCATCATTTGCATTGATGAACAGTATTCGCCTTACACAAGATTGATTACAAATTAAATTGAACGTTTTGAGGGCTGTAAGTTAGTGACTTCAGAATACTCTTTCATGCATATCAAAATAGGAAAGCTTTTACCTTTTTCGTGTCAAATAATCTTTCTTTACATTAGTAAAAAGTAAATATATTGGTACTGCAGCTGTTTTCTGGTGCTTGGTTATTTGTAATAATATGCTTAGATATGCTAAATGACTTTAAACAAATAAGGAAAAGAGGAACTTATGTCACTCCCACTCTGATAATGCAGAATCAGATGAGGTATAAAGTGTAGGCTTTCTACATCACATGGTTTGTAGATTTAGATGTTTCAAACAACTTACCACTTGCATTTTTTACTAGGGAATGTACGTCCTCAGCAATGTGGCTTCTGGGAATGAATTCCACAAGGAAGCGGTCATGAACCAACTTTTTCTACAGGCAGGCAGTGATGCGCAAACAATTTTGATCAAGTTTCTGCAGAGTACTGACAGCCGATTACGAACAGCTTCTGTATCGGTTCTTGTAAATCTCACTTTGACAAGCAGTCCAGGTGCAAATAGTCGGGTTATAAAACTGCAGAAATGTGGCATAGTTTCTCAACTAAAGAATATGATCAATGATCCTTGCCTGGACGTGAAGGTCATTATGATATTATCCTAGTTGGTATTTAAATCCAAAATGCTTATTAGCTAAATAGTTTTCTTCTCTTGCAGCTTCATGCAAGAACAGCTCTTGGACAATCAATGATGTCCGGTGATAGTTCAATGGGATGATTTCTTTTCACATGTTGGTGACTGAGATTCTGATGCAAGATAGTGCTTGCGATTTTCCACGAGAGCATATCAGAACACTGGATGCCTCCATCAAGGTTTAGGTGAGTTCATTACGGCTCAATTGTCCAGATAAGATTTTGTTTTTTTTGAATGATCACTTTCCACAAAATCATGTGTGCAATTTTTGGCAAATAGTTGCTTGGTGTGTGTTTTATTATAGTTGCTTCATTTTTAAGATTGAAGGTTACTAGAGCAAATTTATCAGAATGTCAATACTCCCTTTTCTGTACTTCTGAAGGGCAATTATTCTTTCCTTATGCTTTTCATAAGTCAACTTAAGCTTCATCAACGTGCTCATTTTCAGATATAATTGAATTGATTACTGATCTTTTTATTTTGGATCCATATATTCTCTCTTCTATTAGTGGAGTGTGATGTTTGTCTTTATTTTTCTGTTTCTTCAATGTACCAATTTCCTTCTTTTGTTTCTTGCCCTGTTCCAACACGTTCGTAATGGTTAAGAATTGCTTGTCCCAACCCACCTATTCTACTTGTGATTAGACTGGTAAAACCCGAGCAATGATATAATCAAGATGGACGTAGACTTATTCGAGAGGGGTGAAATTCATTGATCCTCTTTGAACAAAAGAAAAGAATAATTTTAGAGGTACAAAATAACTGTGGGTGCTGCTGGGTATTTTGCTTGTGATTTGACAGCGTGTGCATAACCACAATCTTCTTGTCGACAAGAGTAATTTTCATGATGGGATTTGAATTTATTTTATTAATTCTATGAAGATGACCTCATGAAGACGAAGGTCCCCGTTTTTCTCAAGTTTTCAAGAAGGAGATTACTTCGTATTTTATCCAGAGTAAAAGTATGAACTCTGTCTACCTAAGGATGATGGGTGTTCGTTTTTAAAATAAAATAAAAATTTATTTAAAAAAACTTACTTAAAAAATTAAAATAAAAAGGTATTTAAATTTTTTTAAAAAAAAAAATAAAATAAAAACTTATTTAAAATAAAAGGTTACTTAGAAAAATAAAATAAAAAAAAATTTATTTTAAAATAAAATTAAAGTTCTTAGGTTCGAGTAATGCTATTTAGCATTAGTTTAGGTGATAATGAAATATCATTAAATGATAAGTACATTTAAATGCAAAGTCAAAATATTTATTTAGTTGGTGATCACCCAAACAGGTGTTTAAGAATCATGGTGCTAGATGATATTATTACTTCAATTCGAGCCATAAGTTGACGAGGTAACATAATTTCACCCCCCCACCTCGTCCACTTTTCTCCACGTGGCTTCACCTTATGATCTCACACTTATGCCCCGTTTCTCAATTGGATGTGAGCCTGTGACACCAAAATAAATCAACTACAGGTCATGTCCTTGAAATAACACTATGGTGTGGTCAGTCTAACGATAGTTGCTAGAAACCCTCTTAACTTTATAATTTGTTTGACGAGGAAAACTTTCTTCCTAGTATTGCTTTGGATAAAATTATAAGTAATTTTTAAGAGAAATTTTTGAAATGTCTGAATATAAATGGATAATATATATGTATGTGTAGTTAAAACTAATATTTAATTTTGCCCGAAAATAAAAATAACTTTAAAGTTACTAATAAGTAAATCAAACACATACGTTAAATTATGTTAAGAGGACAGATATCGAAGTAACTTGAATATGTCATGCTAAGTTTCAATGTCAATGTCGACTCCTAAAACCTCCATCTGGCTAAACAATGCAATCATTTCCGCCGTACGATTTTTAATCGGCATCTTGGGTTTCATCGCTTATTATATAGAGTGCAGAAGGCCTTGTACCTTCATTCCATACCTCGTAACTAGAACATGTCCTTAAAGCTCTGCGTGATATCATATCAGGTCTCAATGTGGTCATGCTTTTATTGTAAGAAATTGGACATCGAGCTCAATATGTAGCAACGAGCAAGCTTGTTGCCCTCACAGCTTATCATAACGAACCTTAAGTTCATCATCCACCTTGTTATTGGGTAAGTCAGGACATTCTTCTTCGAGAACATAGTGTTAGCAATTGCTCTTGTTGCTTTGTTTTTACGTGAGGGGAATAAGGTAGCCCATGAGCTCGTCTCTTACACTCGTGTGCATAATGTTTCTTTGTTTTGAACATATTATTTGTCACCCTTTATTGCTCTTGCTACATTGAAGGATGATTACAGCAATGAGAATTGCCATTTTGCCAGAATAAATTTGACACTTTGGTTGATATACTCTATCATTTGTAGTGCAACCCATATGAATTTAAAAAAAAAAAAAAAAATCCCCCTCCTCTCTATTGCGAGGGGCCTGTCAGGGAAAGTGTTGTTAAAAATGAGCATATATAAAAAAAGAGTGCGCAAATAATAAATGTCAAAACGGCTAAGTTTGCAAACAAATTGGTTTCAAACGGGCTAATTTTGAACTTTCTTTGGAAACAAATTTTCGTTTTACTCATGAGGTCTAGTAACAATGAATGGTACGACGTAACTGCAGAAACCGGGCCGAGGACCCCATTCAGAGTGTCGTTAATGAGACTACTGGAGGAAACAGACTGTTGGGATAGAGAAGTGAAGAAAGAGGAAACAAGAGCAACATCAAAAAGTGGTAGTGGTGATTCAGTGTGCTGCGTGTGCATGGGAAGGAAAAAAGGTGCAGCATTCATACCATGTGGGCACACTTTTTGCAGAGTGTGTTCAAGAGAGTTGTGGTTGAATCGAGGCACGTAAAATTCATGACATGTAAAATTTGTGACTTGTGACAATAAAAATCAAATTTGTGACTTGTAACCGAAAAATAATACGCGACCTATTATTTTTATAAGTTACGACCTATGAAATATGTGATTTGTGACCAAAATCGATGCATGACCAATTAATTTGAGAACATCATAAATAAAATAAATGAGTTGCGACCAATAAAATTTTGGATTCATTATCAATGCATAATATGTGATCTAAAAATTGTCATTGTGACTCACAATTTAGTATGTTGTAATCGAGCTGTGACCAATAAAAAATGTTGATTTTGTTAACCGTGACCAATAACATAATATATGACCCATAAAATTATTAATTTGTAACCTCGAAATAATTGGTGACTTATAAAATTTTTGATTCATGACCAAGAAATAATTTGTAATCTATAAAATTCACAAATCAATATAGACGAGCCACAGATCTATATGATCAATTAATTTGATAGCTATGACCATATTGTATAGAACAGTGGTTAATTATTTTGTGTTAAGGTCACAGTCACAGGTTTGAGGTCACAGATTACAATCACAGTCGTTAATGTCATAGATCACAATCACAGTCGTTAAGCCCACTTTGATAATACAGAATCAGATGAAGTAAAAAGTGTAGGGCTTTCTACATCGCATGGTTTGTAGATTTAGATGTTTCAAACAACTTACCACTTGCATGTTTTACTAGGGAATGTACGTCCTCAGCAATGTGGCTTCTGGGAATGAATTCCACATGGAAGCGGTCATGAACCAACTTTTTCCACAGGCAGGCAGTGATGCGCAAACGATTTTGATCAAGTTTCTGCGGAGTACTGACAGCCGATTACGAACAGCTTCTGTATGGGCTCTTGAGATCTCACTTTGACAAGCAGTCCAGGTGCAAATAGTCGGGTTATAAAACTGCAGAAATGTGGCATAGTTTCTCAACTAAAGAATATGATCAATGATCCTTGCCTGGACGTGAAGGTCATTATGATATTATCCTAGTTGGTATTTAAATCAAAAATGCTTATTAGCTAAATAGTTTTCTTCTCTTGCAGCTTCATGCAAGAACAGCTCTTGGACAATCAATGATGTCCGGTGATAGTTCAATGGGATAATTTCTTTTCACATGTTGGTGACTGGGATTCTGATGCAAGATAGTGCTTGCGATTTTCCACGAGAGCATATCAGAACACTGGATGCCTCCATCAAGGTTTAGGTGAGTTCATTACGGCTCAATTGTCCAGATAAGATTCTTTTTTTTTGAATGATCACTTCCCACAAAATCATGTGTGGAATTTTTGGTAAATAGTTGCTTGGTGCGTGTTTTATTATAGTTGCTTCATTTTTAAGATTGAAGGTTACTAGAGCAAATTTATCAGAATGTCAATACTCACTTTTCTGTACTTCTGAAGGGCAATTATTCTTTCCCTATGCTTTTCATAAGTCAACTTAAGCTTCATCAACGTGTTCATTTTCAGATATAATTGAATTGATTACTGATCTTTTTATTTTGGATCCATATATTCTCTCTTCTATTAGTGGAGTGTGATGTTTGTCTTTATTTTTCTGTTTCTTCAATGTACCAACTTCCTTCTTTTGTTTCTTGCCCTGTTCCAACACGTTCGTAATGGTTAAGAATTGCTTGTCCCAACCCACCTATTATACTTGTAATTAGACTGGTAAAACCCGAGCAATGATATAATCAAGATGGAAGTAGACTTATTCGAGAGGGGTGAAATTCATTGATCCTCTTTGAACAAAAGAAAAGAATAATTTTAGAGGTACAAAATAACTGTGGGTGCTGCTGGGTATTTTGCTTGTGATTTGACAGCGTGTGCATAAAACAAGGCAGAATATTCACCACAATCTTCTTGTCGACAAGAGTAATTTTCATGATGGGATTTCATTTTATTTTATTAATTCTATGAAGATGACCTCATGAAGACGAAGGTCCCCGATTTTATCCAGAGTAAAAGTATGAACTCTGTCTAGCTAAGGATGATGGGTGTTCGTTTTTAAAATAAAATAAAAATTTATTTAAAAAAAGTTACTTAAAAAATTAAAATAAAAAGGTATTTAAAATTTTTTTAAAAAAAATAAAATAAAAACTTATTTAAAATAAAAGGGTACTTAGAAAAATAAAATAAAATAAAAAATTATTTAAAAATAAAATTAAAGTTCTTAGGTTCGAGTAATGTTATTTAGCATTAGTTTATGTGATAATGAAATATCATTAAGAGCTTGTGTGTGAGAGATTAAAATTAGATTAAAATTGAAAATATAGTCGTTATTGTTGACTTTTATTAGACGAGTGAGATCCAATAACGGCCATATTTTCAATTTTAATTAGTTTTTAATCCCTCCCGAACGGGGCCTAAATGATAAGTTTATTTAAATGCAAAGTCAAAATATTTATTTAGTTGGTGGTCACCCAAACTGGTATTTAAGAATCATGGTGCTAGATGATATTATTACATCAATTCGAGCCATAAGTTGACGAGGTAACATAATTTCACCCCCCACCTCGTCCACTTTTCTCCACGTGGCTTCACCTTATGATCTCACACTTATGCCCCGTTTCTCAATTGGCTGTGAGCCTGTGACACCAAAATAAATCAACTACAGGTCATGTCCTTGAAATAACACTATGGTGTGGTCAGTCTAACGATAGTTGCTATAAACCCTCTTAACTTTATAATTTGTTTGACGAGGAAAACTTTCCTAGTATTGCTTTGGATAAAATTATAAGTAATTTTTAAGAGAAATTTTTGAAATGTCTGAATATAAATGGATAATATATATGTATGTGTAGTTAAAACTAATATTTAATTTTCCCCGAAAATAAAAATAACTTTAATGTTACTAATAAGTAAATCGAACACATACGTTAAATTATGTTAAGAGGACAGACATCGAAGTAACTTGAATATGTCATGCTAAGTTTCAATGTCAATGTCGACTCCTAAAACCTCCATTTGGCTAAACAATGCAATCATTTCCGCCGTACGATTTTTAATCGGCATCTTGGGTTTCATCGCTTATTATATAGAGTGCAGAAGGCCTTGTACCTTCATTCCATACCTCGTAATCGGAACATGTCCTTAAAGCTCTGCGTGATATCATATCAGGTCTCAATGTGATCATGCTTTTATTGTAAGAAATTGGACATCGAGCTCAATATGTAGCAACGAGCAAGCTTGTCGCCCTTACAGCTTATCATAACGAACCTTAAGTTCATCATCCACCTTGTTATTGGGTAAGTGAGGACATTCTTCTTCGAGAACATAGTCAATATGAAGCAACGAGCAAGCTTGTTGCCCTCACAGCTTATCATAACGAACCTTAAGTTCATCTTCCACCTTGTTATTGTGTAAGTCAGGACTTTCTTCTTCGAGAACATAGTCTACGTCGCCAACGCTTACACACAATACGTTTCCAATCAATATAGTTTTCGTCAACAAGCGTGTTTTGGACAAAATAGATGTCAAAGGATTGAGGGTCGTTCGTACTCTAATTAATAATTCATTGCATAGAAAATAGAGTAGTGATAATCAAATTCTTAGTAAACTTTGATAAAAATTAATGAAATATGTATTTGAAAAGAAATAAAGCCCCCGTTTGTTTCTTATTTTTCATCCATATAAATGAAAAATATGACCGTTATCCATCACATCAAGTCATCAATTTTGAATTTTCATCTCTTCTGTGGGGCTCAATAACGACTATATTTTTCATTCTCATTCTACAATAATGAGAATCAAACGGACCCAAAAATTGTTTTAAAAATTTGGGGCCAAAGTCTCTATGATCTCGATCAGTTGGACTCACAAGAAAACAAAAAACAGTAGGGTAAAGTAGCTCAAGTGATTTTTGAGATCCAAAATCAAGTTCGAACCCACGAGCCCACTAGTCACGAATCAATTGATTTGGATATGAAATGATGTGGGCCCATCCCCTCAAGTGATCTAAATAGTTATATTGAATACACCAAAATTTTTGTAGTGTCTCAAAAAGTCACTATTGAATATACCTAAATTATTTAATTAAATAAATTTTTTGAAAGTCTAATGGAATATACCCTCTGCACTAAAATTTTATTTTCTCTTCCTTTTCTTTTTTGACTGTCAAGAATCTAATTCCAACCAAAACTTTAGCAAACAAAGCTTTGTGGAAACTATGATTCCTAATCAAGGAAGAATCCTTAATTACATTCATAAACATGAATTTTTGTTGTTTTATGGTCATGATCTTGTATTGGTAGATTTTGTGTAAAAAAATCCTATTTATTTTCTCAAATAGTTTCTTCAAATATGATCATATAATTAATGGCTCGAGACCTCCAACTATTGAACTCAAATTTAATCTGTTTTTAAGTACCAAAATGATTCATTTACATATCCAATAAGGTGATAGATATCGAACGTGAACAGGTGCTGGCTACTCCTGAACGTACAATGTCAAGATAAATTGCGTTCCCCAATTAATATAGTAACAATCTTTCAACTCAGATAGAATTTCAAACATCTATAAGTTGTCTAATGTTTTAATCATTATTTGGATATGAAATATATCCTTCGACAGTAAACTATTTCAAATAGGGACATTTTCTGCGATTTTCAATATATGGTGGTATATCGCACATGATCAAATTTGTAGGGGATTTTCTGCTAGTAAACCTCGAAGATTACGTAGAAAGTCAATGTACATCAACACATTGGTGCATTGCTCATTATGAGGTCCGTCGCATTGTAACCTTGCCTCATTATGATGTACGAATTTTTTAATTTATTTGAGTGTACAAATTCAAATATTTAATTATTTATAAAAGAAAAGTGTCTGAATCTAAAGAGCAACGTGGCTTGGAATCTACCGTGATTGCGGGGCCTACAAAAAGCCACGCGTCCCCCGATTCTCCCGCGTGTACTTAGGCTTATAATCTGTCGATCCCACTGATAACATCACCCCGAGAAGAGGCAGTTCTCATTTCTCCGAAAATAAATTATATATACCTATTTTGGGTTTATTTCTCAATAGTGCACAAAACAAAGAAATAATTCCAAAATAAACACGTGTCAACTGTAGGTGCAAACTGCAAATAAATATTTCGACGGTATGAATTTTAGGTGTTTTATGAGGTGATTTTAGTAGAATTTAGCCAACATAAGTGTCCTCGAGATTTTAAGCATGGATACCTCTCCTGCAGTCTATAAAACGTAGTTTGCAACACTACCATATCTCTACCAATTCAAATACAAACACAAGTTGTACTCCTTTCATACTGTCTCTCTATGCAATTCTGTCGTAATAATTTCTAAGAATTGAAGGGATCAGCATCAGACTTTTTATTTTTCAACTGGTAAATTTTTTTTACTAAATCTTGAATATTTTCATTTGCATGTGAGTATCTATATGTATGTAGTGAATTTGTACTTTTTTTTTGTAGTTGTGAATTGTGATGTAATGAAAAGATCTACTTTTGGTGGTGTTTGATTGGAAAAAAAGAAGTATCTTTTGGTTGAAATGTGAAGTGGAAGAATTAAGAATTTAATGCTTTACCTGTGATTGGGAAGAAATATATAAGATTCAATAGGTACTGTCTTGACTCTTGAAAATGTAAGTGGAAGATATGATTTTTCCAGTTTGTGTTAATTTCCGGTAGATTTAGTAAATAGATTGGCGAAAAATGATAATATATTTTTTTATATTTGTGTTAATTTCCGGAAGATTTGGCAATGAACTTAATGGACTGGCCATATTTATTGCGCATAAGATTTTGTTTGTTGTTGTTGGTATTTGTATTCATTTTCTGAAGAAAAGAAAACTCGATATCCTTTCACTCGATTCTTGAAAATTTAAGATGAAAAGGATTAGCAACTGAAGTAGTGGGCTTTAAAGGATTGTGGTTTTTGAGACTATCTGGTCTTACCATTTACTCAGTAACTGATTGTTGTGTGATTTTTTTCGTTCCAATGCACAATGTTTATGATGCAAAACACATATCTGACGGCAAAAGCTCTTTATTCTTTTCCGAAGAAAGCTTAAGCTGAACGATCATCAATTCTCTTTTTTATTACCTCCTATGGATGACTGACATTGTTTGTCCTGTTTCATAAATGGCGTAAATTGTTACTTATAGGTTCCTCAGAGAAACTCGGGAAGCATGCACTCCAATCCCAAGAATTCAAACCTCAGAGAATCCAGTTTTTATGAGGTTTCAAATTCTACATTATTGTCTGAATCTTGGAGGAAAAAAACTGGATACAGTTCCTTCCCAACAGTAATGATGCTAGGACATGTGTCAGATTCAACGTCATTGGAACAAGCTATGGACGGCCATTCACACACTGAGGATGTCACGAATGACGAAGATGCTGCTGCGGCCAAACAATCACGTTGTAGTATTCCTCCGTATCCAGGTGTCTGATTTTCCAATAACCACTAAGGAAGAAGTTCTCCATTCAATTTTATTTCTGAGAACTCTCTGGTTGCTGACATATTTTGTCATGATATTTGTCTCATTTTAAAGTTTAAATCAATAGCGTTTTATAATTTGATGTAGATTTAACCACATGCAATCTAGATGTGTCCTACTTCTTACTACACTGTTTGACTTTACATCCTTTTCGTTTTGAAACCAACAGCAACATTTCTGAAAGCGATGGATGTATTTTTAACTTTGAATTAGACATGATGCTTTAAAAGGTGCCTAAGAGATGTATAATGTTCTGTTCTTTACGGAGGGACCTTGTAGAATTGTTTGTATTTAGTGAAAAAGGTATAATCAATCATATTGAAACAAAAACTGAGTTATGATGAATCATATTTTTGTCTAGGATAATCTAATAAATATTGATGCTTTTATCGGCTCCATAAATTGGTGGGATTTCTATATGATCAAATATCTTGTAGATTGCCTGCTAGATATTGATTGGTTCAGCATCTTTCCATGAGGTAGGCATCTATTTTCCAGTATGGCATTGTGACATTGTGGTCGATCACGTCATGGTTGGTCATATGGAGTACTTGTTATTAATCTCCAGTGTCTTAAAAAATAAACATCAAGATAAGTTGGTTTCTGTAGATTTGTCAAATCCAAGCTACTGGGGTGTGGTAGGTGAGGATCCGGGATTCAACAAATGATTTGGTGAGATGATGCAAGATGTGTATGTTTCTGTTAGGGTGAAAATTCTGTTTCTCATTGAAATCAGCAGTATCTCGAAGTGGTTTCTTTCAACCATGGATTAGATGTTGGAGCCATGTGATTATTACTTATGGAGTACGTATAAAAGGATTGAATAGATAATACTTTAGCTTTTTCTATTTTAATATCATCCAATACTGTTTAATCCACCTTAATGAACATTCCAATATGGTTTGAATAGACAACTTAGTATGCTAAAGCTCATCTTTGTGAGAGGATAGGTAGGTTGTAGGTATCATTAGAATCAAATCACTGACGTCAACATAATTGCTAAAGTTCTTATTAAGTATTTAAACTTTTTGTCCTTTTATTTCTTACGAAATTTAAATACTCATGATCATCTTTTTTCAAGATCAGATAGAAATTATGGAGTGGAAGATCCTAATTTACCACAAGGTTCTTTGACCATACGTCCAAGGAGTGATGACAGCCTAGTGCAGCCCCCACATCCTGAGCTTGTTGGGCACTCGATCGTAAGAATGTTGGGATATAGACTCGAAAAATATGTTGTTTGTAGAGTATTTCAGAGTTTCCGAGTATATTAGTCAAGTTTTGAAATGAAAATGATTTTAGTTTTAGGATAGTTTCCTGGCTATTTTTCAGACCTGTGCTTCGAATCCGCATTACCCGTATTATGAAGGAATGATGGCAGCTTATGGTCAGACTTTGGTGCGTTCAAAAAGTGAATTTATTTCTTGATGAGTTTTTTTTTTTCATAATTAAATAGTTGGTCGAGAAGGGTGTGTTAATATTAAAATTTCTTGTATAAAGCTGATCAAATGCAATTTGAACTCCGAGTTCTTAGCTTTTGAAAATAAACTGCAAAAAACAATGCATTGTATGACTAAATCGAAACATCCTTAAAGGGGGTTGGCATGTCTTTGAAATATGGTTTGTCACTTAATAGTGTTATCTATACTCTATTGACCTTGGTTACTTTAGGTGGATCAATAAATACATTGCTGTTCTATAATCTGATTCAAATTAGTCAAGTCAATATTATTGTTGTGTTAGTTTTTCTCTGGGAGGATTTTGAATCTGATCTCATTGTTGTTTGACATTTTAGAAATGTTCTTTCCATTTAGTTTGTGTTATTTTTAATATAAACTTGTTCCAGAAAACAAAAAAAATTGTATAAGCTAATAAACTGTTGCTTTGATCAGGTTCCTCCTCATTTATTAGACGTGCATCCAGCCAGAATGCCTTTGCCGCTCGAGATGGCACAGGAGCCTGTTTATGTGAATGCCAAGCAGTACCATGGAATTTTGAGGAGAAGGCAGTTGCGTGCTAAAGCAGAACTCAAGAAGAAGGCAATAAAATCTCGAAAGGTTGGTTTCGCTATTTTTTTTCCTTCTAATTTAGCCTCCGGCTAGATTCTGCTTGTGTGAATTTCTCAAAAGTGTTGAAAATGGATATATTAGGAACTTGAGTTTGTCTCATGATGTCTTTGTTCTTCCCGTGTTTTTCTGTGATGAGTAATTGTTATTGAAGACTTAATTTATGTAATTAAATGTGTTCCCTCTCAAATAACTTGAAGTTTTTTAAATGATATGATTCAATATAGATCAGTAATTTATGTAATTAAATGTGGGAAAATGCTAAGTGTACCTCATACATGTACACAATGGATGACATAATGTGATGTGGCAACCATCCTGTCGTTGATGTGAAAGTGTCAGATTTGAATTAAAGGTGTTGATCAATGCCACTTGCAATTATGTAGACCATTATGTACTTGTAGCCTCACTCTTAAATTTGTCTCTTCTCAAATAACTTGAAGTTTTTTAGATGATATGATTCAATATAGATCAGTGTGTATAAGTTCTCAGTTCTCCTCAAAATTGGTCACATCTTAGGCATTTGATGAAAAAATGAATCAAGCCTTCTGTGACGGAGCGTGTTAAGGACTTAATTTAAATAAATAAATGTTTCCTCCTGTCTTTGAACTCAAGGCTTTCCAATGATCTGATTAAACAATTTTCTTCTCAACTTGTAGCCTTATCTTCATGAGTCCCGACATCAACATGCATTGAGGAGGGCAAGAAGTTCTGGAGGACGTTTTGCAAAGAAATCAGATGCCGACGCTTTGAACAGGACAGAGTCTGGTTTGTCCGTCTCATCACGTTCTGAACCCTTGCCATCGGAGTTCAATGGATTGGAAGTTCACGAAATTCAGCATTTACATGGCAATGATCTCAGCAATTTTAGAAAGAGAACCAACTTGCAAGAGCCAGCATATGAGTCTCGTTTTGGCTAGAGATGGGAGGGACTCACTTCAGGCCAGCAGTGGTGAAAAGTCCAGTCTAATCATGAACTCTCCATTCAGTGAACTTATCGTTACCTCCTCGAACTTCAACATTTTTGAGCTTCATGGGAATTCTTGAATGTGTTTCTTTAGCTTATGAAGTGAATAGGGATGATAAATGAGCTTTCTCGTCTTCCGCCAAGACCACTAGGTATAAATATGCAGTGCGGTGGTTTTGGGACAAAGTTTAGTAGGACAAGCTAGAACCTTGTAAATTTATCCCTAGGATTAGCATGTTTTTCCACATCTAATTTTATGTTCGCTAATTTGACCTAATTTTATCACGTAGTTCTTTCAAAAGTGTTCTGAGTGAGTTATTTAAGCTCCACACTTTCGGCCCAAACGAGAATTCTTGAATAGCAAACAACTAGTTCAGATACTCACGACTGATTTGAGACTATCTATGAGTTTCATAGAAGTCAAAATATGAAGAAATACATATGCCTATCTACTTTTTTCTCCGAGTTTCTAGCCTGGTTTATATGCATATAATGAAATGTGAATATTGGTTTTATGGATTTTGTTGATGCTTAACATGATAACTGTCATTTGTGTAACCATAACCGTGGCTAGTAATGATGTGACGACACATTCCTTTCCTTTGAAAGGAATGTTAGACCTGCTATCTTGACTGTGCATGGCTGTAACTGGAGTCGAATTTCTGGCCGCGAGGTGAACTTATATGGACAGCCAGTTTCTGTTGGTCTTGACCCTTCTGGATCCAGAACTAAAGCAGTTTCTTTTAGTTGTTTTGTATTCGTCGTGATATTGCTATAACCAAATCTTGCTTCTTCGACTCTTTAGCAGGGATCTTTCTTGTCTCGGGATGCTTTTTGGCGCCGTTCTTGCTTTTTTAACTGGTCGCATAGTGATAGAGTTGAGTCTATAGCTTTACACTCATTCATATTCCGCACCTATTCTGCCATGGTTAAGGCTTATGTCCTTTGTACATGCCACAGCTGTTGACAATTGAAGCGTGCTTAGCCGATCTTAAAAATAACTTTCTAAGGGGTAATTAGTAGAAATGGTCTCTAACGTTTACATTCATTTCTAAAATGGTCCCTATCGTTTTAAATTTGATATTTGTACCCTTATTCCAAACGTTTGCTGCGGAATTGGTCCTTCCATCCAATTCCGTTAAATCCGCCGTTAGGAAATTTAGAATGTTTTGCCAATAATATTTGAAAAAGGGCAAACTAGTGACTTCCCATATTTTTTCTCCTCTTAAAATTTTCGATGAATATAATTCTTATGGTTTGATGTAATTTATAAGTTTAGACCACAACTCAAAACGTTGTCGGCAAATATCATTCTTAACCCTTTAACCATTTAGCACAAATAATTATTGTGAATTTTTGTCTAATAGCCCAATGTAATATACATAGCACGCAATTTAGCTTATCAGAAATATTGAAACCATGTTTGGTTTGTTAACAGTGTAATTATCTATTGTGTAGCAGTTTTTTTCCTTTTACTATGATATTTTGTATCTATTGTAGTAGATTAATATTGAGAACGTATACTACATAGTTCATCAATGATTATTTGTGTTAAATTGTTAAAGGGTTAAGGATGATATTTGTCGACAACGTTTTGAGTTGTGGTCTAAATTTATAAATTACATCAAACATAAGAATTATATTCATTGAAAATTTTAAGCGAAGAAAAAATATGGGAAATGACTGCTTTACCATTTTTCAAATATTATTGGCAAAACATTCTAAATTTTCTAACGGCGGATTTAACGGAATTGGATGGAAGGACCAATTCCGCAACAAACGTTTGGAATAAGGGTACACATATCAAATTTAAAACGATAGAGACCATTTTAGCAATGAATGTAAACGTTAGAGACCATTTTTGCTAATTACCCCTTTCTAAGTAACCCTTCTTTTTCTGTTAGTTTTTTAAATAAGGTTCTTGTTTACATGTTACTTGTTTCTACGGTAATTGTCTGTTTGAAAAATATATATTATGGAATAATAGATTAACAGAGAATGTATGTTTGAAAATAAAAAATAAAAAAAATTTTGATTTGTGTGTAATATTATTTTAATAAAAAATGTGCAATTGAAAATGAGTACCGTAAAAAAAATAATGTGGTAGAATGTAAAATAATGGGTGACAAACTGGGGCTAATGATTACTTTTATATTAACTCATTGTAACTTTGATCCAAACGTACACTTCTTGCTTTGAAGAGTAGATTAACGTGTTACCTTGTACATACTAAGGTCAGCAGGATTGTACAACATTTGCTTGAGACACCGATGTGGGCAGTGATATGTAATTGCACGTGTTAATAATTTGAACGACGATAAGAAAATGTACAACTTCGTGCCATGGCAATTCGATTTTTACGCATTAACCTATTAATAACGAATGGATGGAGAAATTTCGCGTGAAGTTTAGCCCTCGTCTAAGAACCATTATAAAGAGAAGTTGAGACAAAAATGATATTTTGAATAGTGATTCTTAGAGAATGTGTGATTAAAAAATAGAAAAAATTTGAATTCATGTGCAGAATATTTTATTATATAAATGTGTGATTGAGAATAAGTATGAAAAATAAAGTTTTTTATTATGACGAGTGTAAACCAATTGAAGAGTAAAAAAGAATTCAAGAAAGGGGTAAAATAAATTCAAGAAAGGGGTTAGAGACTAACACGCAACTGAAACGGTGTATTTATTTTAGCCGTTGGAATTGAGGTGGCTGCTATTATTCGTATTCACGTATCCATAGAATAGAATAAAAAGAGGCAAGTTGATCCATAACTTCAATCGTAATTTTAAAATTACTCCTCAATAATAATAAAAAAGCATTCAAATTCTGTTAAATAGTTGCTTGCCCTCTGTTTCTAACCTTATAAAGCTAAGTTTTGCTTATTGACATAGGTTGATACTTAAAGATTTAAACAGAGGCATTTATCGACAAGTTAATGAAAAATTAACATAATATTATTTCTCGATCATAAGCAAATCTAATCACATAGTATCGAGTTTAGCGTAAATAGGTGCTTGTTTGGAAGAGATTTTTGAGGGAATAATTGATATGATAGAAAATGTGTGGTTGAAAAAGAAAAAATAATTATTGATGTGATGAAAAATATTATTTTATTGAAAAATGTGTGGTTGAAAATAAGAATTGATTTACTGTAGAATTTTGAAAATCCCTCTCAAACAAGGCCTAGATTAATAGAAAGGCTGATACTTCATCGACCGCTTTGTTGTATCGATAATTGATCCTCATAAGCAACTTTTATACAGTGGGGAGCTCTCTCAATTCATGTGTATATATCTTCCTTTGGCGATTAAGTGTATTCATTCTAAGCTTTACTCATCATTCACCACGTCTCATAAGCTAAAACTAGCTATTTTAAAAAAAAAAAAAAAAAAGATTGAGGAGCAACTCTTATAGAGAGAAGACATGTTGGGGACCAATAATGCAATTTGCTCTCCATATAAGCCACATTGTCAAGCGAAAACGAAAATGATAAAGGAAAGTACAGAGAGATTGGGCTGCAAACTTGAGGAGAGAGGAGGAAAGTCTCTGCAAAAGAGCTTTTCTCTCTCTCTCTTCCCATGGCGGATTCACACTTTGAATCCAACATTTCGTGTTCATATTGTTCTTGATTCAATAAAGGGTCTTTCGACCAAAATTTTCGCCCCATATTCAGCCATACGTTTAAGGTAGTGTTTTTTCTTCTTTTTAATTGTTCAAGCATTTTTAAATGTTGTTGGCTTCATTGCTTCTGGATTCACCTTATTATTTTAATAATCGAATGTTTTTTGGGTCTTTTTTTATTATTTTACAAAACAAATTATAGAATCTTCCATAATTCTTGGAGATTCCTGTAAAAAGATCTAGAGTCCCATAAAGAAGTAGTTTTTATATTTTCCTCTGTGGAATCTTCTCACGTCTAAAAATAATTAGATATCATGCTTAGATATGAAATTTTTCCTTGTGGTGTTATAAATATAAAGAATTTCACCATCTGGGTTGTTGATATGATTTGTGGTTCAGGGCATATTTCGTAAGGAGAAAATCAAGATTAGATATTTTTGAATAATGGGAAATTGCTGTGTAACCCCTGCTGTTTTTTCTGACAAGAAGAAAAAGAAGAATAAACCAAACCCATTTTCAGCAGATTATAGACCTGGGGGTTCAAACAAGCCTCTTGTATTGAAAGACCCCACGGGTCACAAAATCAAAGAGAGATATGATCTTGGCCGGGAGCTGGGTAGAGGCGAATTTGGGGTTACATGTTTGTGTATTGATGTGGAGTCTAATGAGAAATTTGCGTGCAAGACAATATCGAAGAAGAAGCTCAAGACTGCAGTTGATATTGAGGATGTGAGGAGAGAGGTTGAGATCATGAAGCATTTGCCTAAACACCCGAATATTGTGACCTTGAATGATACTTATGAGGATGACGATGCAGTGCACATCGTGATGGAACTATGTGAAGGTGGTGAATTATTTGATCGAATTGTGGCGAGGGGACATTATACTGAGAGGGCAGCTGCAGTCGTTATGAAAACCATTGTGGAAGTTGTTCAGGTAAATTTATGAGTAGCTTGTTATTTTCTTGGGTCGATGAAGATTTTAATTATGTCTCTAATGTATCAGATACCATTTCATAAGTTTGGTCGTTTTTCTTAGACTTGGACACTTGCTAACTGAATACATTGTTTGTTCAGTATATTTTGATTGTATGTAACTTCAGAAAAACTTAAAGAAAGTGAAACTTGGGAAAACTTTAGAGATGTTATTTATGTTTCAACTTATATAGTTAACCTACTAAACCACTAAATTATGAACAAGCCAACTTTTGTAAGCTGTTTTGGTTTAAGGAATGTAAAACACAGAAATGAAGTTAAACATTGTATGATACCTATTGAATTTGTCTCATACAAAGAAATAAATGAAATAATGATGCAAAGAAGAGAAATCAAAGTTAATGAAGACACCGGAAGATAAAATGAACAAAGGGGAAGTACAATTCAGAGGTTAGCATTGCTTTTTTTTTTTTCCCTCTCTTTTTCAGTATATATATAGCTTGATATATCTCACACAATCAAATGAAGAAAGAGAAAGATTGGTCAATGGTCATTATTCCTTCACAACTGTGAGAATTCCTTGCACCCGATAGAATTTGATTTTGGGACCGAACTGCCTTTATCTGGATTTTTCAACAACTCTGTCTTGTGTGTTATGGATGATCTTCTTTATTTTCTTTACTATCGAAATTACTGCTAAATAAAGTTGATTGTCCCATATTTGTTCCGTTTAGAGTAATCCCTGGCTTGTTGGTCCACTATTGTACTGTAGATGTGCCACATTCAAGGAGTGATGCATCGTGATCTCAAACCGGAGAATTTTCTTTTTGCCAATAAGAAAGAAATGGCACCCCTAAAAGCAATTGATTTTGGTTTGTCAGTTTTCTTTAAACCTGGTATGGTAATTTTTCAACCAAATTTCAGTCTTATTGATCTCTGCCTTTAGTTGTATAATTTGGGATTATCTATGTTTAAGTTTGTTTCTGAATATTCTTAGGTGAGCGCTTTAATGAGATTGTGGGAAGTCCTTATTACATGGCTCCAGAGGTTTTAAAACGCAACTATGGGCCTGAGATTGATGTGTGGAGTGCCGGAGTTATCCTTTATATTCTTATTTGTGGCGTTCCACCTTTCTGGGCAGGTTTGCTTGATCACTTATGATAGTTGCAGTAATTGCAACCTTTACTTCTGTCATATCTAGAGACAAGCATGAGTATAGTTTGGATTTATAGCATGTTTGATAAGCCTAAAAGCATTTGTTTGGCACAACTTATTTGAAAATAATTTTTTTTTTAAATTCATTTTCAACTGTACATTCTCCCAATAAATAATTTTGCAAGTGGACCCATACTTTTTCCTACTTTGTAAAGACACTTACTCCATAAAAAATCATTTTTCACTTCAAATAATCTCTCCCAAACGAACACTAAGTTTACTTATAAGTAAATAAGTAAATCTAAAATAAAAGAAGAAAAAACGAGTTAACCAAACAAAAGCTTGCCTAACATCCTTTTTATGTCAATAAGTTAAAAGTGCTTTTGTGATTTACTTAGTTCAGAAAAAAAAGGTAACTAATGAAAGTAACTTTTACTTTTTGTTTAGCACATCTAAACATGCTCTTAGCCTATGTTTGAGTAATATTATAAACAATTTATAATCGGTCAAACAACTTTTCATCCACATATTTCGTGGAACCCACAATTACTACCCATTCCCATCCGTCATTCTATCTAATTATAATTTAAACCATTATAAACAACTCCCAAACAGGCTCTCTATAGCTTATGAGTATATAGATGTGACAGAGAAAAAATGAAGTTGCTGGAGTATGGCGTTGCTTAATTCATCGTATACTTCCCATCTCATGTGCATAGATACAAATGATATCAGTCCACATATTATTTTTTTGTGCAGACTTCTTATATGTATTCTAATTGTGCAGAAACCGAGAAAGGAGTAGCCCAAGCAATTGTTCGATCTGTTGTTGATTTCAAGAGAGACCCATGGCCTAAAGTATCCGAAAATGTGAAGGATCTTGTGAGGAAAATGCTCGACCCGGATCCAAGTCGGCGTCTCACGGCTCAGCAAGTGCTTGGTAATGTTTGCTTACATCAATGTTGTATGTCATTGTGAATTTGATGCTTATAATGAGGAGGGAAACTAGAATATGTTGTAATGGGCTATTTGCATAATCCAATACAGAGCATCCCTGGTTACAGAATGCGAAGAAGGCTCCGAATGTTTCTCTGGGTGAGACAGTGAAAGCAAGGCTCAAACAATTTTCCGTGATGAACAAACTCAAAAAAAGAGCTCTAAGGGTACTTATATAGTTCACTACATGCATTTATGATAACACCCTGTACCCCCCATTCCATGCGCGTGCACACACACCCCAGAAAAAATAAATTAAATGAATGGGGAAATGGCACTGTTGGTTAATGGCCGAGTAGCAAGTGCTTTTGGTTCCTAATCTTTTAATATAATTGCATAATTGGTCCCCATAGATGAAAACCATACAACTCTCCATTAAATTTTCAAGTGTCCTTGTGAAAACATGCTGTGCTATGATTTTCTGGGCACCAATCTTAGTTGGAAGACAGTATCTAGTTTCATAGAGTTGAACATGTGAGTGCCACTTGACAATTTAACATAGATTTGGACGGTTTCTATCCTTGAAGACTAATTTTGCTACTAAAATGAAAGATTGGGCTCCTACTGGCTCCTTTTTAAAAGGCTAGGGACCAATTCTATTTTTTCCAAAAAGAATTGGAAAGAAAATGATAAGAAAACCACATCAACATGATCCCTTTTTTCATATTTGAACCTTAAAATGTTGCACGCATAGGTGGTGGCTGAGCATTTAACTGTGGAAGAAGTTGCCGGAATAAAGGAAACATTTGGCATGATGGACACTGGAAATACAGGTAAAATCAACCTCGAAGAACTTAAAACTGGTTTGCAAAGGCTTGGCCATCAGATACCTGATGCAGATCTTCAGATTCTCATGGAAGCTGTAAGCATAATCATATTCTGCTCATTTTTGTGTTTCTTTTTAACTTTATTACTTTTTTGACGGTAACTCAGTTGAAGGGATCATGTTTGGCTAAGCCTTCAAAAATATGAAGTTACTTTTTTTAAGAAATCTTTTTTACCGGAAATGTTTGCACTTGTCTGGGTTACTTTCAACCGTAATTTTTTTAAGCTTATTTCTTATTTATCACATAGTAGTGTAAAATGGTCAGACATTTCTTGTCCTTATTGTGTTTGTAATTTGGTTTAATTAATAAAGCACATGTCTGGTTTTACAGGCTGATATCGATGGAGATGGAACTTTGAATTGCGAGGAATTTGTGGCTGTTTTGGTTCATCTTAGGAAAATGGCGAATGATGAACACCTACACAAAGCTTTTGCCTTCTTTGATCAGAATGGGAGTGGTTATATAGAGATTGAAGAGTTGAGGGATGCTTTGAGTGATGCAGATGGTGCCAATAATGAGGAAGTTATCAACGCTATCATGCATGACGTTGACATAGATAAGGTCAGTTTTGAGATTCACAAAGAAAAAGGCATATACTGATGCACGAACGAACTCTCAATCCTCGAGTCTTATTTGAACTTTTAATGCCTTGGAGAGTGATATATGCAGAGTTCTAAAAGGTGGGGCCTAAGCATGAGACGCCCTTGCTTATGGAAAATGCATGGAAAAAGGCGATCAACTCTATTTTTGACCACCTCTCAAGGCAGTCCCTTTTTATTTTTAAAGTTAAATAAACTATTGAATAAAAGGAATAAGTTACTAATGATTTTATTAAAATGAGTAAAACGATGGCCTTATTAAAATAATTATTAATTGTCGTAGAATAATTGAAATAGGAAAAAACCTTAGTACACCTAGGCATGCCTATGCTCATAAGGCTTGACCTTGCTGCATTGCCATGCCCAATGCCTTTAAGAACCTTGATATTTTGACTCCTAAATATTCCAGGGAACTTTAAGCCATGCTTTGTAAGATGAACAAGATTGTATTTGGATAGTATTAAAAAGAAATCTAAATCTTGTCCGCTGGACTGCCCAATTCTCACTTTGAGCTCCTATAATGAATTTCTTTCGTATGTTTCTGAACCGGCTTATTTTTCTATCTATATGTTCTTGTTTTATTTCCTCCCTTTTCTGTTGTCTCTTCCAACTTTTATATCATCACATTTATTCGAAAATTTCATCGTTCCCTGCATCATTTTCAACTTATATCAATTAGATTCCCATTTTGTATATGGCACTTGATGCTACCTAGGAACGTCATCCTCCTATTATTTTTTGTTTGACGAGCATGTATGACTGAGCTTAATTTTTTGCCTATAAGCCAGTATGTCTTCAAAGTTTATTTATTTTTATTGATCAAAGTTGAAAATAAGTTAGTTCTTTATTTCAGCAGTAAGGTAAAAGTTAGTTCAGTATAAGTAGCTAATCCAAACATGTTTCTCTTTTTAAAACTTATCTAAACACGCTTTTCAATAATGTTAAATCTTTCTTTTTTCTTATTCGCTTTCTTCGTTAGTTATTTGTTTATCGTAGAGGATCTCTATTTCATTTTGCTGACATGTATAGGACGGACGCATAAGTTATGAAGAATTTGCTGCAATGATGAAGGCCGGAACAGATTGGCGAAAAGCATCTAGACAATATTCTCGAGAACGATTCAACAGCCTCAGCTTAAACTTAATGAGGGATGGCTCTCTACTGTTATCCAACGAGGGTAGATGAACACATTATAAAAGCTTTATGGAAAAGAAAAAGGCATTTATGGGGCATCGATTTTTTATTGAGTCGAAGATATTCTTGTTACTTTCTTTGATTTCAGGTCACCACGGGTTTTTTGTGGGTCGGGCTGAGGTATTAAATATCTTCTCAAAGGGTTTTCTTTTCATTTAACAGAGGAAATGCTGATCTGGTTATATGTGTTGTAAATATGCCAATTAGGGTTGGATGTCCATTCTCGTTTATGAAGCTTTCTTTTTGTGCTCAGAATGTGCAGTCATTGTCATCTCAATGCCTTCAGAACGGAGGAAAAAAAATAGGACAATTCTTATGGTACATTATGAGATCCATAAGGGTCTACATAATGGACACTTTGCGGCCTACAATTGGTAGGAGTGCCGGTCCCACAGGCACTCCCACCAATTGTAGGCCGCAATGTGTTCCACGAGAATTTTTATGTACCACAAGAATTTTCCAAAAAAATAAAATGGACAGTATTGAGTAAATGAATAGTAACCTTTTCTAAAAGGAACAATAGCGGATTTTACGAAATGTATAAATAATAAAAGGATAGTATTTATGGATTTGCAGTTGAAATTAATCTTTAACTTTGATTGAATAGAAAAATGAATTTATAAGCTATGTTTGAAGAAACACGAATAGAGGCGATATGGAAGATAAGATTTTGTATGACACTTTTAATAGGGTTGATTCAACTGAACAAAATTATACATTGATTAAAAAGAAAAAATTATAATTTTAACCACAAATTCTTAGAATTACTTCTGGAAAAACTAAAATCAAATGCATCTTAAAATGTCATAGATAATCAAGCCATTTTTAATTAATTAAGTACCTTTTTTGGTTCTAAAAATTATTGTTGCAAGTTGATTTTCAATAAATTGTCACCCTCAACGGGACATGAGAAATTATGTCCTAGCAAGAGTATCAAATTCCACAAGTTATTAATAAGAATAATGCTACTTGTAGTTGCTCACTGCAGCAATCGTCCTATGTTGCATGTACATGTCAAGTGTATATTTGATGCATTAAATGTGGTCAAAAACTACCACAATGCATCAAATAACTACATGTCATGTGTGTGCCAAATAGGACAACTGTTGCAGTGAGCGACTACAAGTAACATTACTCTATTAATAATGCATTTGTCAAAACCAATCAACATTTAGTGTGCAATTATTAAATGTTTTATAAATGTTGTAAAAGTAATATTAGCATACGTGGATGTAATGAAATGCATTCTTAAATGTGATATTCTAATTAACTTATAATTAGAATTAACAGTACTGAAATGCATAAATAAAAAAAATATATTAATTAAATGAATGTTAATGTTAATTAATTAAGAATTAATAATATGGAATTATGCATTAATGAAAGCATAGAGATAAAATGAATCTGTCAATGTACATATACATTGATGGTAACTAAATGATTAAATAAATTAAATTCATGTTGAAAAATGAAAAGTAATGTATTATTGAAATAATTGAATTATAATAGGATTAGAACGTCCAAAAAATGATTCACTTGATAATTCTAATAATTAAGTAAAATTGGATGTTAATTAGCATAAATTGACATAAATAATGAAATGCATTCTTAAATGCAAAATTCTAATTAACTTATAATTAAAATTAATAACGCTGAAATACATAAATGAATATGAATATTAATTAAATGAATGTAAATGTTAATTAATTGAGAATTAATAATAGGGAACTCATACATTAATGAAAGCATACAGATGAAATGAATATCTCAAATGTATACGTACATTGATGGTAACTAAATGGTTAAATAAATTAAATTAATATCGAAAAATGAAAAGTAAGATATTATTGAAATAATTGAATTATAATATGGTTGAATTGTTCAAAAAATGATTATCACTTGATGTAATATTTAATATATTATAGATTTATAATTACTTATAAATATTATTAATTGTTTATATGTTTTGTAATATCCACCATTTTTTTATCCATAAACTTTGAGAGACATAAGATTATTATCTCTAAATAATTAAATAATGATTTATTAATTTTTTTTGGCGTTACAAAATTTATTGACCCACCCGTAACATTCCTTGGCGTCTAGGTTCAATGTATCAAAACTTTCAAAGGCACGTCCGTGTCTACAGCAAGTGATGTCCACGCGCATCATTCACGCACCTATAAAATCCGTACTATTTGTTTTTTTACACTTAGGCCCCTTTCAAGAGGGATTAAAAGTCAATTAAAATTAAAACTATGGTCGTTATTGGGCCCCACTCGTATAATAAAAGTCAACAATAACGGCTATATTTTCAATTTTAATCCGATTTTAATATCTCCCATACAAGGCCTTAATATGATATCTTAATGGAAAAATTGCAACAGTGATCCCTAACGTTTTCAATTTTGTAGGATTTACCATAATCTTAATTTTGTGCCAACGAAGGTCTTCAACCTTTCATAAATATGTACATGGAGTCCAACTGGATGTAAACCATCAATTCGATCGTTAGTTGACCAAGAAAAGTGAATCTTGACCAAATTGAAAGGGATAAAATGATAATTATTTTATTTAATCCCATAAAACAATTAAAATAGAGAAAATTGCAGCAACAATCCTACCCTTTTCAATTTTTTAGACTTTAACCTAACTTTCAATTTATGCCAACGAAGGTCTCTAACCTTTCATAAACATGCACCTGGAATCTAACGGATGGAAACCTTAAATATGACAGGTAGTTGACCAATAAAAGTAGATTTTGATCAATTTTGACCAAATTAAAAGGAGTAAAATGGTAACTTTTTTATTTAATCCCATACAACAATTAAAATAAGGGATAATTGCAGCAGAGTCCCAAACCTTTGAGTTTTTCACAAATGTTACCTTAATCTTCATTTTGTGTCAATCGCAGTCCTTAACCTTTTAAAAATTAGCATCTAAGATCCAAATGGAAGATTCTTGTTAGTTTGACCATTAGTTGACCTATAAATTTGACTTTCAACAAATTTAGACCATTTTTGAAAAGGTAAAATTGTAACTTTACATTTTATACATAAAAAAAGGTAAAAAAAAAAATTAAATTAAAAAAAAAAACCAAAAATAATAAAAAGACATATAAACCCATCATCTTCCCTATGCGCACGCCACCCTATCCTACCCTAACCCCCACTCACACTTCCCACCCCACCAATCGAAATCAGAAAATTGTCTCCTTACACATCCAGCAGCCATCAACCCACACCATCACCACAACTCTCCCCACCCAAACCAACCAACCACCTTAATTAGGTAATCTCATGGAAGGGACTTCAATATACTCGAGTGGTGGTCAGTAATCTAACGCGAGTAAGGGAAAATTGCAGCTTTTCAATTCCCATTTTAACAAAAGATTGAAGCAATTTCACCTGTTCTATCATTATTTTTTGCTTTCTATTTAATCTCGAACTTTTTGCAAATTTTTGCTGTGAATTCATGGTGGCTATCGCTAGCCAAAGGTATTGCCATTTTGCTAAAAAAATTGATTTCCATTTTGATGATATTGATGGGGTTCGAGGCGTGTTGATGGAGAATTTGATGATGTTGATGGGCGATGGCTAAAGGCATGTGATTTGGGCGGTGGCTGTAAGGCAGGAGAATGGTGGTGGCTTTGGTCGATAGTCGAAGGCATGGGATGAGGGGGAAATAGAAAGATTCATCTTTCAGCAAAAGTAGAATTGACTTGGACCAAATAATATAAGAAATGAGTTTGTTGGAGTGTGAGGAAGAGGAGTCAAGAATTTGGGAGGAGATCTTGGCGAGAACAACAACAAAGTTGGTGAAGCAGCAGCAGCAGCAGCAAGCGCTGGCTGCTGCTGCAAGGCAGCAAGTTGCTGTCTTGCAGCAGCAAGCTGCCTTTGCAGGATAGCTGCCTGCAAAGGCAACTAAAGAAACAAGAAAAAAAAAACCCAAAAAATTCGAGCCGGCTCGGCCCGCTAAGGTTCGGGCCAAAAGCTCGGGCCGAGCCTCATTTTTTTTTGCCGGGCCCGGCTCGGCTCGGGCCAAAAAAAGGTCGGTCCAAAAAAGCTCGGGCTCGGCTCGTTGCCACCGCTAGGTAAAATAGGACCAACTGATTTTGTGTTTATGATAAGGTAGGGTGTGGGTAGGAGAAGATGTATAGTGATTGGGTTTTGATTTTTTATTTTTAATTCAAAGTTACCATTTTACCATTTAAAAATGGTTTAGATTTGGATCAAGTCAAATTTATTGGATCATCTAATGATCAAACTAACAGAAATCATCTATTTGGATCCTAGGTGCTAATTTTTGAAATGTTTGAAACAGTGAGTGGTATAAAGTGAAGATTAAGGTAAAATCTACAAAAACTCAAAAGTATGAGACTGTTGTTGCAATTATCCCTTAAAATAAGTAAAACACAATAAAAATAAAAGAAAATAAAACTATTCATCCCCTTATTCACCCCACCTCACCCATCCACCCAAACCAAAAATCAAAGTCACCACTAACCACTTCCACGACCACCACACCTTTCCCAAACTTTAATGAAACATTCTCACTGCAATTATCTCCATTTGGGATTGCCATTGCCGCTGCAATTATCCTACTTTCGGATAAACGGGACCTCCACCACAACTGTAATTATCCCCGTTTGTGACCGCCACCACGGTCTCTACACCTTTCACCACACCAGCAACATATCTCAACAAAATCAACCACCACCCTCAAACCAAAACCAACCACCAAAATCCCACCCACCATTTTCCTCACTCCTCCACCATTTGGACACTAGACCTGGGACTCTGACAACCTTCGATTCAAATTTATACAACACTATATGTTGAAAATATCACATGTCCATTTAAAAGTAAAATCTAATTAATGGTGCTCAAGCTCCATTTAAAAAGGGAAATTGAGTAGTCAAACACAACCAAGCCTTGCTTGCCGTTTGGTTATTTGATTGATATGGTGTTTTTGCTGTAATCCTGCTATAAAATTCAAGAAATTTACCAAATTCAATCTTAGCCGACTTTAAAATTAAACAAATTAATGTGAATTTTCTTTCCCAGAAATTGGTTTTTCCAGCAACTGAAATGAAGAAGATCAAAATCGATTGGTTTTGGTTTTAGTTGATGGTGGTGGTGGTGGTGGCGGCGGCGATTTACGGTGCAGCTTGTGTGAGATAGATGGCTGTGACCGATCGACTGATGGTGGTGCCGATGTTGTTGTTGGCTAGGAATGGGGATGGGGTCAGTTGGAGGCTTGAAGGATAGAAACCATTTTTTATTTCTTGGTTTTTTTTTGTTATTTATTTAATGTGGTAATTGTAAAGTTACCATTTTATCCATTTCAATTTGGTCAAAATTAGTCATAATCCACTTTTCTTGGTCAACTAACGGTCAAATTGATGGTTTCCATCAAACTGGACTCCAAGTGCATATTTACGAAATGTTAAAGACCTTAATTGGCATAAAATGAAGATTATGGTAAAGTATACAAAAATGGAAAAGATTAGGGACCGCTACTGTAATTTTTCCTAATAGACAACATTGGATATGTGTAGAATATTGTAATGATTAAATTAAGGGGCACCCGAGTGTTTTCATCAAATTTTTTAATTGATTGGACACATGTAGTAAAAAAATGGCTGCTACAACGAGACCCATTTCCTGCATATAACAATCAAATTTTTCATTATAATCAGACTAGAATGATGCCTAAACAGGCGTTGAATGTACAAAGTTGGATGAGTGTTAATAGGCCGAATCGAGCTGCTCGACTTGCCTACCACTGGGCCTAGCTTGGTCCACCACTCGAGTCGACTCATTTCAACGAAGTGTGGCTCGACTTCCCCATTAACTCTTCCCTTAGAGGGACAAGCCTCGAGCGACTTGCCAATTTTTATTTTTATTTTTTTGAATTTGAATAAAAACATGAACGGTTCTCAAGCCACCACGACTTATGAACCTCATACACGAGCTTAGCCTACGAACGGCTAGTCACACTTTCAATCCCTACCTTAATGCGCAGAGTGGTAATTATATAATCATATTTTCTTTTTTCTCATTTCTTTGAAGTTTTAATTTTTTCAAGTTATTTTTTCAAAATTTGAAAGTCTTATGAACAATGGAACCACGATTGAAAACACATAAATCTATCTATCGCGCAATTTGACTCCACTCTCCTTTACAATTTGAAATTGTTTTTGACATTTTTTTTTCCAGTTTATTTGTTAAGGTGCAGATATGTTTGATGGCGAGTAAGTTTTCAGCCATAAAAGAAGCGCGTGGAGCAAAATAAAAAAAAATAATCTCGTGTCAGGCACGTGACACTCATCACAGGCTCACTATCCCCGTTTCTTCTTCTTCATCACCGCCAATCCACCAATTATATCCTCCTCCACTAACTTTCTCGCTCCAAGAACAGAACAAATTTTAACAAATAGCTCTCTTCCTTTGCTAGATATTTTCCGATATGACGACGTCGTTTGGGGGTACCAACACTGCAATCCCCAAAGACCCAAACCTGCTTCGAGTTCCAACGAGTTTCAATGGCTTCAAAAGTGCTTCCAACTCTCTTTTGCTCAGTAAACGCCTGCATGTTTTTCGGTCTTTCTCAGCTTCCAATGCGGGACCCACCTCGATTATCAGAGCCGTTTCTACGGTAAATAAATTCCTGTTTAAATTTGTTCTAAATTTTATTAGTTTTGATCCAAGTTTTCAAATCTTTTTGGGTTTTACTAAATAGTTTGTTGTGCCATTCAGAATAATAGATTTTAGGAGTATTTGGTTTCTTCATAATTGGAAAATAATAAAGTTGCCTCTTTTGGTTACATGCAAAAGGCTCTCTCTCCCTCCCTCTCCCACTATGATTAAATTAGGAAAGTTTGAGAAGTTTTTGGGAGCAGAATGTACCATCTTTTATTGCTACATTTGCTCCAAAAATGATAAATTTTATGGAGAAATGTTGGCTGTACTGGTGGGTGTCGTAATTCAGCTATCCTCACTGCTAGTGGATTCAGGTTTGCATCGATCTGGACATCCCACTGACTCTGCAGCTAATTTTCCTCAATAATTGTTCAATCTAATGATAGAACTTGAAAAGCTGTGTTCTACCGGGGGCTATCCATATCATAAACTCTACCAAAATAGATTTCACAGAAAACCAACTTTTTTAAATCTTGGTAACGAAATGTAGCTTTTGTTGGATCAAATGTATCAGGGTGTACTTATACTGCACTCTTCTTCTGTTATGCATTGTTTGTGGCTAATGTTAGTAAGTAAATGTAAAATTGAAATGCAAAATAAGAGTAAATTATCTTCTGATAATCTGTTTTACCGACTGAAATCTAGAGAATCTAAAGGAAAAGAGGATTCCACACTTTATATTGGCGTATAATGCAGGGTTAATTCCTTAAATGTTCACTGAACTTTTCTTAAAATTCCCACGGGTCACTAAACATAAAAATTGCCCTCGTTAGTCACTTAGCTTTGAAAATTGGTGTACCATCCAACACTGTGTAAATGCCGCTTGCAAAATTAGAAGGATTTGATGACATGTCTAATGGTATGATTTACGTGGCATGCAATTGGAAATTATAAATCAGATTTTTACATGAATTATGCTATAATAAGTTAGAAGCTATAATAATTCAGCTCATAAAGTTTGTGAAATTCAGATATCGAAAAGCTCTACGTAAATTCAGATATCGAAAAGCTCTACGTTTGGATATAACCAGACATTCAAAAGTCATAAAAAATACACTCAAATATGCATGGACGATTTGTGTATAAAAGAGTCACATACTTGTAGACTCATGCGCAACGTTATCAAATCCGTCCAATTTTGCAAGCGTCATTTACGCAGTGATGGATGAGGTACCAATTTTCAAAGTTCAGTGACTAACTTGGTAGTTTTTAAATTCAGTGGCCCCGTAGGAACTTTAAGAAAAGTCCAGTGACCATTTAAGGAATTAATGCATATTATGCAAATGATGGGATTGGGCGGTTAGGAGAGGAATGCTAAGAGCATTGCAGCTAATCATAGCTGTGTATGTTTTATACACTTTTGCCACAACTGGATTTGCTGCCTTAGCGTCACTTGGGAGGTGAACATGATTTGCCAAGATAAAAGTTTGTCTTGTCAAATATATAACAATAATATTCTTTATCAACTTTGTCTTGTGCTATTTTTCGAGAAAGTAACTTTTCAGTTTGAAATGGGTTTTACCCTTTTTGAAGAACTATAGACAACATATATCAACATATTTTGGTATGTTCTATTATCTTTAAATTGTTCACGAAGAAACTAGACTGGGTTAAGATAACTGATAGGCAAAGAAGATAATCCTAAAAAATGTTTAAACTTACCTAGTTACCTTTCTCTTTCAATGGAAAATACAGAAAAGGTAATTTCAGAATTAACCATTTTCATCGATGAGCATGTTGAGAATTCTAAGTAGCCAATTCTATGATAAAATAAAATAAATTTAATTATTCAGCATTAGATAACCTTAGAAATTTTCAGCCTTTCCAATGCCTTCTTTTTTATAAGATGGTGCTTTTTTGGAGAATTTCTATGTTTATGAGGGGACCAAACTTTGTGATGTTAACTATTCATTCAAAACATGCGTGCACGTGTGTTGAATGAGTTGCCCACATCACAGGCCACTGTACTTCAAATGGTTGTAGCGTTCCTCAATATTTTTCCGAGGAGAGTCTACCGGAAAGTCGATCTCGAGCCTTCTCTTTTTTAATGTTTGGTGGCACTAGTGTCAAATTTAAGTTCACATTAGCATTCACACCACCAAATTCCCTGCGATTTCTCTCTCCACAACACCCCCATCAAACAATGAGAAATCATTGCTAAGACTTGCTCTCGCTGCACCACCTTCATCTTCCAGCAAAGAAGCAATATTTTGCAATCTTCTGTCTTGCTAGCTACTGAATTAAGTTATGCCATTTTTTTAGATTGTAGGCGATCTTCTCTTGTTGTGGATGTAAATCTTTCATCTATGAATGGGTAGTCTTCCTATTCTCTGAATTATTTTCTCTAGCTTTTCTTCTTCTCCAAGTGGCAAAATTTTCTTTGTTTGACTTCCTAATGGAAAGTCTGAAGTATGCTCTGGCGTTCTTTTCTTTTTCATCTTGTAGGATAATCGTGTCTACATGTCAAGTCAGTATGATTATATATTTATATGCAATAGACACATTTTTATTTCTAATATTTGCATGACTTATTTGCAGCCAGTGAAACCTGATACTTCTGTGGAGCCCAAACGTAGCAAGGTTGAAATCTTCAAAGAGCATAGTAACTTCATAAGATATCCTCTCAACGAGGAATTATTAACAGAGGCTTCTAATATTAATGAAGCTGCTACACAATTAATAAAGTTCCATGGAAGCTATCAACAATACAACAGAGATGAGCGTGGTCCGAAGTCTTACTCATTTATGCTTCGTACAAAGAATCCCTGTGGAAAGGTTTCAAATAAACTCTATTTGGTTATGGATGATTTAGCCGATCAGTTTGGGATTGGAACTCTTCGTTTGACAACGAGGCAAACATTTCAACTCCATGGCGTTTTGAAGAAAGACCTCAAGACAGTGATGAGTTCTATCATTAGAAGTATGGGCTCAACTCTTGGTGCATGTGGTGATCTCAACAGAAATGTTCTTGCTCCAGCTGCCCCTTTTGCACGAAAAGATTATTTGTTTGCCCAAAAAACTGCTGAAGACATTGCTACACTGTTAACTCCTCAATCTGGTTTCTACTATGATATGTGGGTGGATGGAGAAAAAATTATGTCTGCAGAACCTCCTGAAGTAGTGAAGGCCCGTGATGATAATTCTCACAGTACAAATTTTCCTGATTCACCTGAGCCCATATATGGAACTCAGTTCTTGCCAAGAAAGTTCAAAATTGCAGTTACTGTGCCCACAGACAACTCAGTGGATCTATTCACAAATGATATTGGTGTGGTGGTTGTGTCGAATGCTGATGGGGAGCCTCAGGGTTTTAACATATATGTAAATGGCTGTCTATTCTATTTTTTCTTGAATCAATAATTTTGAATAATCTATTACAACTACTGCAGGTTGGTGGTGGCATGGGAAGGACACATAGGTTAGAAAGCACCTTCGCTCGTCTGGCAGAGCCATTGGGCTATGTTCCAAAAGATGATATATTATATGCAGTGAAGGCTATTGTTGTTACACAGAGAGAAAACGGGAGAAGAGATGATCGCAAGTACAGCAGAATGAAATACTTAATCAGCTCCTGGGGGATTGAAAAGTTCAGAACTGTTGTTGAACAATACTATGGAAAGAAGTTTGAACCTTGTCAGGACTTACCTGAGTGGGACTTTAAAAGCTACTTGGGATGGCACGAGCAGGTTAGTTCTATTGTTTTGGATATGCAGTTAAATTTTGATAGATCAAATTTGGTGCAGCAGGAAATGTGCGGAAGAAGATTATCGCTGTCAAAAACTTGTTAATTCGATTGAATATTGAGGATTCAATGCATATATAGAGAAACCCTCAATACATTTTAGTAAATACCAAAACATATCTGAAGTACAAATAAGCCCTGAATGTTGTATTTTAAAGAAAAACCCCGCTGCCCTAACTTTTAAGTTTAAGAAACCCTTGTCTTGTTTTGTTCTATTATTTTGGATATGCAGTTTATTTTTCATTGGTTTTAACTTTTTGATCTGTTGGTCTCAACACTATGTTATACACAGATCTTTGACTTTGCAACTTTTTGCTCCTGACTTTTGGCAGGGAGACGGTGGTTTATTCTGTGGTCTCCATGTTGATAATGGCCGACTTAAGGGGGCAATGAAAACAACACTAAGAGAAATTATTGAGAAATATAATTTGAATGTACGCATTACTCCAAACCAGAATATTATCTTGTGTGATATCAGGCAAGCATGGAAGCGTCCCATCACTACAGCTCTTGCTCAAGGTGGTCTGCTGGTAAGATGTCAAAATTTAAGAATTATATTAAGCTATGTAGTGATGGTTTAACTATGTAGCTTAGAAGAATGTTTTATGAGGAAGTAGTTTGTCCGAGTCCGAACTGACATTATATGTCAGGTATCCCATAGCTGTAACTTTTTTCTTTTTAAAATAAAAAATCTGTGATAAAAATAAATTAAAATCGATATGGAAATATTGCCCAGGGAAAATCCTACAGGAAAGAAGTGAAATCATGAGTGGAAGAATTATATGCTAATAAGATTAATGAGTATAATAGCTAAAAATACGTGGAGAATTAGCTAAAGTTCTATTGAAGAGACTTTTTTGGAACCTTAGCAAAGACTAGAAGTAAAAGAAATTTGCATTGAGTTAACGAATTTTTTTCTTTCACAAACAGTTATCTTTGCATTTGCATTCACGTGGCTGCTAATTGGCATTGCTTTGAAAAGGATTCATAAGAATCTCTTCACAGGCTTCTATGTCGGAAATTTTAAAAATTTGAATGTAATAACTTGTCCAGCTATTACAAAGTAAAATACCCTATTTATATGGTTACATCTTACTCTAAAATGGAAAGAGATAGTCAATTATTACGGAAAATAATCCCGCACTATCGAGAAATTATCATGGAGAATAATCTTTCTGTATCTTCAACATTCTATATTACCATATACTTCAATTATTTCTCGAAGTTTGGATTAGTTAGCTTTTGTAAAAGTCCTCTTTGAAATTTCTTAAGACTAAGTTTGCACATGGTGATCAATTATTTATGTGACCAGCAACCTAGATATGTCGATCCCCTCAACTTGACAGCAATGGCTTGCCCAGCTTTCCCACTTTGTCCTCTGGCAATTACGGAAGCTGAGCGTGGAATACCTAACATCCTTAAGCGAGTTCGAGCATTATTTGAGAAGGTACGGTTTCCTTGCCGTTTTCTAAATTTATGGAAGTGCATAGAAAAGATGATGGAACTATGGCAGTTAGGAGATCTTACGAGGCTTGCTGATGGAGATTTTCTGTTTTTATTTCAGGTTGGTCTGAAGTATAATGAGTCCATAGTAATAAGAATAACTGGTTGTCCTAACGGCTGTGCTCGACCATACATGGCTGAACTTGGCTTAGTTGGTGATGGTCCAAACAGTTATCAGGTAGTTCAAGCACCTATTTGTTGAACATTTCGTTCTGTGAAAGTTTGAATATGCAATTATGATTTCTGACGACTCAAAACTGAATCAAGGCATTCGCATTGTTGAAATAGATCTGGCTCGGTGGAAACCCCAACCAAACTTCATTAGCAAAACAATTCAAGGATAAGGTTAAGCTTCATGATCTTGAGAAAGTTTTGGAACCTTTACTCTATTACTGGAAACGCAAGCGACTGTCTAAAGAATCATTTGGTGACTTCGCAATTCGCCTGGTAAGCTGTAATACAAATATAGCAGAGAAACTAAACATTTTCTTGAAGCATTTTAAACATTGGTTGACTTTTATGTCTAAAATTATCTAGTCTACTGAGATTCTTCTTCAAAATGTTGATGAAATTCTGCGTCCGAATTTATTTGTTCTGCTGCGGTTATTAACTCATGGTTGTTCTGTCAGGGTACTGAGAAACTTCACGAGATGGTGGACAAATGGGAAGGAATACCACTGACAGCATCACGTTATAACTTGAAGCTCTTTGCCGACAAGGCGACATATGAAGCCATGGATGCTCTTGCAAGACTTGAAGATAAGAGTGCCCATCAATTAGCTATGGAAGTAATCCGCAACTATGTTGCCTCCCAGCAAAATGGAAAGTGAATGAAAAACCATCTAAGTACTAATCAAGTATGCTTTATTCTTTGCTGTTACTGGTCGGTAACTGCTGGAACAAGCGCAGGATTTGATATCATTCACCATAGAGCTTGTGAGTGTTTTGCTTGTTCTCATACTTTCTAAAGACCTTCGATTTTCTCGATTTTAAACGATGGTTGTCCCTTTTTTGGTGAAACTGAGTCCATTTGGGAATATCCTAGATGTTTTTGGCTTTGTTCTCTATTCCTATCATCTGCAATTAAGAGGAATTTTTATGTAACGATTATTCGGTCGTCAGCTTAGAAGGTTGTCATCTGTGTTTTTTTTTTTCTCTATTCTTGACATTAGGCTTCTTGGTAAGGCATTAAGGCTCTGTTTGGATTAGAATAGAGAAAAAAAAACACAAAGGGAATATTTAATTCAGACCGTTTTTTCTTTTCTATTTTATGTCTTTTACTTTTATATTTTAAAAATAGGAAAGAAGCAGCGAGGGAAGTTAGTTTTCAACTATTTCAATTTTCTTGTGTCGAATCCGTTCTGTAAGTTGTTAGAGATAAATAGAAATTATTTTAGTTATCATCTTGTACACTTCCTCATGTTTAATACAACACTTGCACAATTTTTTCAAATAGTTGTTGGGAAGTATTGAATATAAAACAGCACGCTCGAGTACTTTTTCTAAAAGTTTAAATTATTAAAGAGAAGAATTTGTTCGACTTTTCACATATAGTTCAAATTTGTTTTTATTCATATGCCTGACACGATATTAATAATTATTTGAGAAATTCTTGTCTTATAGGTTTATAATTATGAGTAAATTGAGTACTATTTCCTGCAAATCGGTTTATGGCAGAATCCACCCAGATAATTGTATCAAATCTTATTCTTGGCTAAAGTTCTCTATTTAGCATTTGAAGATGGTTGATCATGTTGGAATAATAAAACTGGATCACCAGTTCAACATGCAAACCAGCGCCTGCAGGCTTCAGCTTCAGTGCACAAAACCAGCAACCAGTTCACAGACCAGCAACCAAACAGCAAGATAACCAGCACGTGTTCAGCCCCTTCTTCCTTCTAGTTTCTTCTAGTCTCTTCTTTAGTTTGTTAGATTGTTAATTTGTTACATAATTTGTTAGCCATTTCATCTATAAATAGAATAGGTTGCATTGTATTTCCTTAAGCAAGTTGATTGAATAAATTTCAATTGCTTCCCTGCTTATTCAGCAGGCCTATCCCAGTTCTCTGTTTTTATTTTCAGTTTTGTTATTTTAGTTCAATTCGTTTTCTCCTTCCTTGATTTTATCATGGTATCAGAGCAGGTTTCTGATCCTGAATCTATCAAAAAAAAAAGGAGAAAATCCAGAAACAAGCAGTCCAGAATTCAGATCCTTCCCCAGCACATGTTCAATAGCTCCTCAACAGAAAACCAGTTTATCAGTTAACTCAGCCTCCAATTTCATCAGCAACTTGGAAAGAAAAATTCTCGAATCTGTTTCTGTAAATCATGTAGCTGAAGCTCTCACAGACTTCTACCAGATTTTACTGGAAATTCAAGCCGAGGAGGAATGTGCCTCTTTGCTGGAAGGTTTCACAAAGGATTCCGTTAAAGTTCCCAAGCAGCAAGACAATTAAATGGAAAGTATTGTGAGCGGTCGTGAATACTAGTTCCATTGAGAACAAAACTCTGGTAGAAAGTGTGGAGACTAAGCAGTGAGTACAAACGAAATGGAGGAGTTGCAATCAATAATAGATACAAAATTTCATGATGTGCAGTCAGGTCTTTCCCAGATTATCAAGAGCTGCAAGAGATGTTCTCAGAACTGAAAACGAAAATAAAAATGAAACGAAATTGAAACAGAAACAGAAAATGAAGATAGAACCTCCTGTGAATGGCAAGGTTCTCAGATTTTCACAAGAGTGAATGTATTAATTCCCAGATAGGGAATCAAAACAAAATCGAAATGAAAGTGAAGATAGATCAGATCTTCACGCGTGAATGATTATTCCCAGACAGGGAATTAAACCGAAAATTGAAGATTAGTGACTTTGCTCACTAGGTGTTCGACGAAATGTCGGCATGACTGAAAATTCCCAGATAGGGAATCAAAATACACGTTCATCAGTAACAGAATTGAGCTTATGCTTCCAGCTTTCTTCTAGTTTCTTCTAGTCTCTACCTTTGTTAGTTAGATTGTTAGTTTGTTAGATAATTGGTTAGTATTTCTTCTATAAATAGATTATGATTGCAATGTATTTTCTTAAGCAAGTTGATTGAATAAATACTTCAACTTCTTCCCTGCTCATTTGAAGCAGGTCTACCCGGTTCCTTCTCTGTTATTTTAGTTCCTGCATTCTGTCAATTGTCGTTCAATAATTTCAGCTATAAATCAGCTTCCCTCCTTGATTTTATCAGATCAAATACAAGCCATATACATTATGGACAACATAATATAAGATAAATTAACAAGAGAATAAGGTTTTTACAATATTCATTCTTCCATTATAAATGGATAAAGCAAAAGGCATCGCCGCGAAAGCCGATATCAAATCTCAATTGCGACAAATGCGGGCAGTAGGCATGGTAACACAAATAGGTGCATACTTCTTTTTAGCTTCTGCACTTCCTCGTTTTGGCTCATCAGCCATAGCAAAATTTGCGACCGAAAATGCTGCTGCAGCTGCGGCAGCAAACATCAAGTCCCTTCTAGTGCTACTTCCCTCTTCCTTGGTGCTCATCACCACCTTTTCATCCTTGGAGGCCTTAACCATGAAAACCCCTCCACGGCGCTCGGTGGTGGGAGGATGTTTGGAAATGGTGGCAGCTGCGGAGCCACCCAAGAATGAGGCTGTCATTGTCATAGAAGCCATTTCTAGCAACTCAATGTAGAGTTTTTAGACTTTCTTGAATTCACAATGTCACAAGGAATTGTGCAGATTGGTTGGGAGTTAAAAGTGTGTGCAACAGAAAACAATGGATTTTCTACATACAAATGTAATCCATTTTCTTATCCGGAGAAAGGATGTTTTCCAATAGGTTTTTGCCAAGTGTTAAATGCCTATCTTGACAAGAAAATTGGTGGGTAGTTGATCCTTCCGGTGGGGCACCATTTTTGAAATTGTGTCCTTGATTCCTCTACCAAGATTTTTCTTTGGGAAAAAGCCATGCTTTTCCTTCACAGAAAGAGCACTTGATTGGATCTGTTTTTTCTTTTTTATAAAACTTCCAATGAAATGATGCCAATTATAATCCGTGAAGGAATTTTGTGAATAAACTCTGTTCGTGTAGCATGACATTTTCTTGGCCTTCGAAACTAAACTTGTTTTTGATGAATTTTAGAGTCGCTCATCTTAATTTTATGGATCATGGATTAAAATACTACAAAATAAATAAAAAAATTTTCGAACATAAAAACATAAATAAAAATACAACTTTCCTCAAAACATATAAATTTAAATATAAGTAAAAAAGCTTGTGGTCTTTAACAGATTAAGCCCCATTTTGACGATCATTATTTGAAAATTCTTTTTTCGACTAACTCATTTTTAACAACACATTCAAACAATATAATATTTTGCACATAAACCCTTTTTTCCTACTTCTTAACTATACATTCTCTTAAAAATCACTATTCAAAACATTGTTTTTCCCAAATAATAGTCGTCAAACAGTAACTAAATTTTATAAAGACTTTGTCCGTTGTACTATTGTGAACAAATTTTTGAATCAATTTATGAAAAATTTCACGTATGAAGAAAAATTATTTTGACAGCAGAAATAGCAGCTTTGAGGGGCATGCTCAACTCCTTTCCACGATAAGTACATTCAATACAATATGCTAATAAAAGTGAACTAGTGTCCCAAAGAACCAGCTGACAACTTTAATAAAACCAGTTTCACCCTACTATTACATATATCTGTAAACAAGGAAAACTAACTTAGAAAGCATAGATATCACCTAATTTTATGATGAAGCAACCGAATATATTTTATCAAATGATGTTATATCCAATATTCTGCGAGATAACTTTCACTAGGTTGTTTGTTCTGTATAGCAGAGATGCCAGAATGCCTCCAACCGACGATTCACTACAAGCAGAGGGCACAGAAGTTCCATGGTATGCCTTGCAGATGTAGCTTATGAAGTTCCGATAGTCCTGCAATCAGAGAGAAAATGTCATATACAGAAATCTTACGTTCAACTATAAACATCTGGAAATCAAGTGAAGACTTAAAAAAAGCTCAAACATGATGTCATGGCCAGATGTCAGTCCTCTGTTTATTTGCGACCCAGGATTAAACCCAGGCTTCATTCTCCTTCCTCGGGCAGGTGGTCAGGGCTGCCGAGGAGGAGATAGGAAGTTGGAATTCAGAGCATGACACTGTAATACATTATTTACAGAGAAAGTGCAAAGAAATGCATGGAAGTCATAGATTTGACGGCAAAGGATTTTTAAATCTTTAAGGGCTTATCAACGTTTCCCTTCACATAGCTATACAATCGTTTTGTTAACCTTAAAAGTATAATGTAATTATATCTGAGAAGAAAAAGCAATTAGTAACACGAAAATATATTAGTTTTAAGAGAATGGAAGTAAAGAAAAACTAACATCATAAAGTGGCTGACCATCCACAACTACCCATGGCACGTATCGATGAGGTGGTTTAAGATTGTTTGTTTCTGCTGCATATCCTAGTTCAATCTGCACAAAAGTAACAATTATAAAGTAAATATAAGAGCATGGAAAAGCATCACTACAATAATCAAGAAAGGAATGATGAAAATATTAGAAGCATGAAGTTCAATATAAAGCATGTGGAAAAAAAATGGGCAAGGAATACTTTAAAAAGAACTGAAATTCGAAAATTATCATTTAACATTCATTGAAGGTTCAGTGATTGTTTCATTGGCCAAAAAAACAAAAGCGTTTTCAGAAATAGTTCTTTCTATTCAAAGTTCTATACAAAATCAAGTCAACAATATCGAGCAATTTCTAGTGCCTGCTCTTGATAGAAAATGCAAAATTAAGAAATAAGAACCCAACAGGGAAAAAATTAGGCATCTCCTACACAAAAGACATACAACTTCAGATGGGCATAAACATTTGAATCTCGTCCAAACTGTAAATTTTCAACTCATTTCGTAGCTGCAATTAAATATTTTGAAATAAATAAACTTGCAATCTAAAAGTTCGAAAGCCATACAGTTTAACATCCACCATTAGATTCAATATATCAAAGTAAATGAACATATAACGATGAATAAAAACACAGAAATAGCTAACCTCTTTTCCACGTCCACTTTTATAACAATTAGCTATCGGATTAAGATCCAAGCCCAATTTCTCAAAACACGTTTCCCATTGAGTATAGTTCCCTTGGTAGACCAGATTTTCAATGCAGTAGATAATTGGAAAGTGCTCATTCTGCATTGGTTTTTAACGAAGAAAGACAGTAAAAAAAGGTATAGAAAACTCTACAACATTAGAAAATTGAAAAAATCCAGGAAAAATTCCTTCAACCGAAATTACATCCTCTGTTGATGACATGAGACTACAATGTTAGAATTCAAGATTGCAATGAGTTATACAACGCATGCTTGGCTAAACTTAAATCATTTTCTTTTTAGTAAATAAGTAAGTTAAGTAATTTTTATAGTTTTCCAAATTGAAAATAAGTTACATATTTTTTCAAGGTTACTCAAACATGATCTGAGCTAACAGCAGCGTATGTATACCATGCCTCAAACAGATTTTAACAGAACCAAGTATCAGAAACTTCCTGAATAGAGCAGCAAAAACAATATGAAGCGGTTAATTTCCTGATTCTTTTCTGTTCAAAGTCTATCTGACATATTACTAATCTTTAATTTAAATGCTAAAAAGAGATTCTTACCACATCAGGCCAGAGATCAATTGCACATGCCTCTACAGTGTTGAGTAAACATTCATATTGGCCATGCTGCAAACAAAACCAGAATCACATATAACTGATATAAGTGGAGACAACAAGAACATTATCGGCGATGGTTTGGTAGGGTGAATTGCGTTGTCAAGTACACTATTAACGAAAGCTAAATTTAATCTTGTTCATTCTACTGTCTACTCGTATCCGGTACTGTAAACTGAGCATGATGCCCCGATATGAGCTGCCAAACAAATTGCACTTTCTATTTACAAACCCATTAAGAACAGAGGTAAGAGAAAAAACAAATTCAGCACCTGGCATATGAATGTATTGTCGCCTTGGAGTTTGGCATTGCCCCAAGGAACAAGATCGAGATCAACAATATCAATGAGTCCATTACAGAAAATTTTGGCTAAATCACCAATGGTGAAATTGGCACAATAAGGGCAAAGGGATTCGTAATAGAATCCCACTGATACTTTGTTGCAAGAAATAGATGAAAATGAAGTGATAAATAGTAGTTGAAAAAGCAAACAGAGGTTGATCAACTGAGAATAAGGAGCCATAAGAGACGCAAAGAAATTGGAATATCTACTTCTGACAACCTTGATTTTACATAATTTTCCAGATGCGTTCTCTTTGAGACACCCAGAACTGAAAATATTAAAAAAATGCTTTGCCTCAGATTCGTGGCAAAGTATTAGCAAGACACTACTTGAATATTCATTGGTGGGACCAAACAATTTTAACAACTTTCTTCTCACTATTTTCAAAACTTGGTCATGTTATTTCTCAAAATCTTACTCGGTATATTCAACAAAATTTTTTTACTCTTGGCAAAAATAAACACAATTTTTTTTCTATTCATAACTGTAAATTAAACCCAATAAAGCAGTAATCTTTTTCTTGATATTTCTTTACATACTATTTGGGCACTCAGAATACCTTTTCCTGCGATAGTTCCAAGACTCAACACAAAAAAAGGTAGAGGACGTAAGAATTGACAGATAATTCGTGTACCCTATCTAAATGATACGTTATCAAAAATAAATAAATAAATAATAATAATAAATTTAGTTATTTAAATTCAGTACATGCTGCATCCTTTTCATGTCTTACGAGTGACCAATTTAAAATAATGACCTAGAAATTAAAAATTCAAGGAAAAAGAAAGAAAGTTAGAAAGTTCGATTGATCTGGCTTTCAAAAAAGTTCAATTGATCTAACCTGACAAGTGATGGTTCCATTAGCTCGAATTTTGGCGTTGCCATAAGGGATGAGCTTAAGCTGGGTTATAGCTATGACTCCAGTATCAAACAGCTTGTAGAGATAGTTGACGATCAAATTGGAGCAGTAGGGACACAAGCTCTCATAGTATATCTCAAAGGTTACTTTGTCTTTCTCAGATCGGCCGCCATCAATGGAACGTCCCGAAGAAGGATTCACAAATAAACTAGAGGTTATTAACAGAATCAATAGATGATTTCTTAGAGAGAGAAGTCTTCGATGAGATTCCATGGCTATTGGAGATTTGGAGTTTTCTGATCCACCACTCTTCCGCTCAGTATAAAATAGTCTTCAGATAAATATGATAATGTTTTAAAGATTATTAACTTTTTATGTAATTAAAATGTATGGTCGAATTTTGTCGACAACGTCATATTTGACAGCAACATCATATTCATCCATTTAAAAAATGAAGTGTGCTATGTGTACAGAAAATAATTCCACGGAAACCGGCCAGAATACACACACAGTAGGGCGGGTGGTGTTTTTTTTCTTTCCCCAATATTTTATACATATGGGGCCCATCCCATGTGAGTTTCTGGCAGAATTCCGTAGAACTATTTTTTGTACAAAATTACAAATGGTTTTCTCCTTTAAAAATTGATTTTTATATCAAATGCTCGAATTTTGACAACACATGATTGTCGGCCAAAGTTGTCAACATTGTCCGCAGTTATATTGGTAATATTATGTCAAATGTCCAATTAGTTACTTTTTACTTTTTGTTTAATTTTTTTCTTCTTTAAAGTTATATTTTCTACCTATTTTATTCCAAGTTTGACAAATTTTCCCCTTTAATAAATACAAAGAAAGAGAAATTACAGTTGACTGGCAAATTGACCGTAATTTTAGATTGAATTCATTCAACAGAGCCGATTGAACACTTAGAGCCTGCTTGATATGACTTTTAAAAAGTCAAAAAGAGTTTTGAGATTCAAAAGCAACTTTTGGACCTTTTTGATTAATTTTGTGATAGTATTTTTGCTAATTAACAGAGATTTTAGAGGAAGCTAATCTAATATGACTTTTTTTTAAAGTACTTTTGGAATATGAAGTGCTTTTAAAAATTAGTTTGCAAACAAATGTTAAGGTAGCTTTCTCCAAAAATTGTTTTACAAGAAGCAAAAGCTATACCAAACAGTCCCTAATAACATAGCTTCGGAAAGTCCGGGCCAAAATTTAAAGATTTGGGGACATAAAAAGTAAGAATTACAAAAGTTTGGAACCATTTACACTCGTTCCCCATATTAATATACTATACATCATAAAACTTTACATACCTGCCAACTTGTTTAATTTATGAAGATAGATGGAAAAATATTTTATTTTTAAGGTTTTCCCTATGATTATTTCCTCAAATTTTTTTTTTTTTTTTAATTTCAGAGCATTAAATTCATTGGAATTCAAATTTTATACAAATATATATTGTGTTCGTGCTGATTTTGATCTCCTTTATGCAATGTGGTGCCTTGCATATAACGCAAGAAACAGTTTTCAGACATCGGCAAATCACTTATTATTAAGAATACTGATTTGAATCAAGATATTGAAGAAAAACTCACGATTTTACCTTGAAACCTAATTCCAAACCTAGTTAAAATACAGTATAAAGGTAGTACATTCATAAGTTCAAAGCACGAAAATTATTTTTATGCAATAAAGCCTTTGCTCTTCAAACTCTGAACAGCATCCCTGATAATCTGCTCAATTGGAATAAATTCGAGACCCAAGTCGATCAATTTCTTCGACGCGTCCTTGGCCCTCAATAACCCAGGCTGAGTATCCTTGGGCAACCTACAAAAAGTGCCAACACATTCAGCAATACTTGCATTTGCATTTGAGAATCATCAATAAGACAGACAGTGCAAGTGTATTGAGAGAGCAAGTCAAGGGCCATGAACAAAATATGGGTGTAACACTATATTTTTGCAATGAAATTGGAATGGTCCATGAACGCAATGCAGTCTCTCTAAGTTTTAAATGTTCTTTCTACTCCACCATCGTTTCACAGTTCAAATTGTGTGGATATTTTGCAAAGAGTATGCAATCAGAGCACCTTACCTTGGAACCTTGTACTCCGGAAAAAGTTTCGCCACCTCAGCAGCAAGATCACCATAAGAAGAGATTGCTTCAACACACAAGTGCCTTCCAGTTGCTGATTTGTTCTCATACACCAGTATGTGTGCTAGAGCCACATCTTTAACATGGACAGATCCCAAAAAGAAATCTTCAATTGCTGTAGCGAAGCCTAAAACCCAAGGGAGAAAATGATGACGTAATCTCAACATTATTCCCAAGCATAAATGGTTTAATTCTGCCATGAATGAATGCAATAGTTTTTATCATTAGTTTTTTGAACCAATTAGCAAAAAGATCAGTGCACTTACTTTTGGAAGTAAGATTCTAATCTTGAAACTAAGCATGAACACAGATGGAGTGTAAAAAGGAGTTGTACAAATAAATTAAATAACAGTTCATGCTCATCACTCATCTCAAATTAGAATTACCCTGAAGAAGGCGTAGAATCAGCAGCATGCTAGCATTTAATGCCGGAGGGATAATATGGCCCATAGCCATTCCAGGATTTACCACAACAATATCCAATTTATTTTCCTTGGCAAATTCCCAGGCAGCTTTTTCAGCCAGTGTTTTAGAAAGGGGATACCATAGCTAGAACAACAAAATTCCATCAATGTATTTATCAGAATAAGATACAGAAAGTATTTATTACAAGAATAAATGCATGCACAAGAGATGAAAAGAGAACATTTGCCAATTGTTACTCATGAAAACATTATGTGACTTGATTCTTATTCTTACAATTGCTGCTTATTGTTAACAAGAAAAAGATAAATTGATTTCTGTGCAAAGATTTTAAGAGTTGCTGCATAATTTTGCTTATGCAACAGAGTTAAAGTTACCATGCTGATATGTAAATTTATCTTCAAACTCGATCTTCAATCCGTTTTAATTTTTTTTGTTTACGATGAGGGGTATTCTAAACCAATCTTCTCGATGACACTAAACAATGGGAACCTTTATTCTCAATCAATTTCCTAGCTTCCAAACTCAATGTTAAGATTGATGCATATTCTTGACCAAAAGTAACAGAAGAAGAAGATCAAAATTAGAGAGCTGAAATACTTAACCTTGTTTTCAATTTGCAGTTTGAAGGGATGGCTTTTGTTAGTGTTGTGGTCTATCACGGAGAAAGAAGTGATAAATCTGGAGAGTATTCAGCCATTGGAATCGTTTTCAAGATTTGCAGAGTAGCAGGCATAATGTACAACTGAAGAATATTACGAACAGAAGACTATTTGTTGATCAATTAGTCTTGAGATAACAATCTTGGGTGACGGAATGACGTGGCAAAATATGTCCATATTATTTTCCAGTCTATGAATAGTAAAGAATTTTGAAATAAACTACCATTTTGCAATAATGAGAAGTTTCTTGAACAGTATCAATAAGTAGGCGGGTGTGATAGCAACAGGGTAGAGACTAACTCGTATCAACACTTGTTCTTTTAGAGGGAGTGATTCAAAAGATTTATATTCTTAGCGATGGAAGAGATGACACAGTTGGGACAATAGACGAACTTTTCAACAAGAATTCATGGTGGATGCGTTGGGCGACATGGGCGTGTGTAACCCCTGTGCGGCCAGTTAAGGGGTTTCGACTATGGACCGTACCATACGGAATTCCTTCAAGGGGTATGGCAGTAGAGATTAGTGTGGGAAGACAATTTTGGATCTAATGTTGAGACGAAATTCAACACAAGTCCTTTTGCTCCCTTTTATACCAAAATCTTTCGCGAAAGCTGGAGGATTTAATGGTATTCTGAATGACATGTGGGCTACAATAGTAGAAGGGAAGTGTAAAACTGTTTCTATAGTATTACTGTACTAGTATTAATTACCCAAAAATTAAGAATAAATTTAAGTGTACAACATTGTTTGACAACAATCGTTAACAACCACGTGTTGTCAAAATCCTAGCATGTGATGTAAAAAATAATTTTTTAAAATGGATGGATATGATGACGTCAAATAGAATGTTGTCAACCAATGTTGTATATGCTATCGTTGATTTTTCACAAAGAATACTACGAATTTAGGATCGACAAATTGGAAGAAATTCAATATTTGGAGAAACTTCTCACTGAATTTTATTATAATCAAAACTCATTTATTAAGGCTTACCACCCTTACTTAAAGAAAAATAATGATAACGATTATAATTTAATTCTAGATAATGACAAAAATTAAAAAGTCTTGAACGAAATTGAATTTTAAATTAGTTAACTAAAGAAATACTAACTAAAAGATAATTTCAAACTCTTAATTGTAAATGAAATGAAATATAAAACATAGATAAAAATTGCATAAATTAAATTGAAATCAGCCATATATTCCTCTATTGTATTTTCATTTTTATGTTGATTTCTTTAATTTCCCTTAAAAAGCATATGCATTCAAAAGGTACCAAACAACTCAACAATCAAAACAGAAACTGCAGACAGAAACAGACCGGTTTATATAACAGAAGATGTCTTAGTGTATAACACATCATTACAACATAAGCATTACAAGCATACAGTTTCATTCGCAATAATTATCCTCACTCAACGCGTGAAATTCCAATTAAGGTAGTACATTCATAAGTTCAAAGCACGCAAATTATTTTTATGCAATAAAGCCTTTGCTCTTCAAACTCTGAACAGCATCCCTAATAATCTGCTCCATGGGAATAAATTCGAGACCCAAGTCTATCAACTTCTTTGACGCGTCCTTGACCCTCAATAACCCAGGCTGAGTATCCTTGGGCAACCTACAAAAGTGAAACACAATAGGCAACATTCTCATTTGAGAATCATTAACAGGAAAGACAGTGCAAATATATTGATAGAGCAAGTCAAGAAAAACAGCATAGATACAAAATTAAAAAGAAAAAGAAGTAAAAAACATGCACTTTTTCTTTTTTTATTATTCACGGGAACGAAGTTTGAAATAGCAACCCACGGCCAAAGAAATGAATATGGGAGTAAACAAGAAAAAGAAAATATTCTCTTATAATGAAATTGGACTAGTCCATAAACACAATGCAGTTTCTTTTAAGTTTCAAATGTTCTGTATATTTCACCAACATTTCACAGTTCAAATTTGTGGATATTTTGCAAGAGTATGCAACCAGAGCCCCTTACCTTGGAACCTTGTACTCTGGGAAAAGGT